CCTGGGTACTGTGAAAATGCCCCTTGTCTGGCATGTCTGGTGAGGAAAGTGTGTGTGTCAGTGCTGTGTGTAAGTTGACTATGCAAACAATTTGGAATTTCCAACACAATGTTTCTTATAAAAAGAAGAAGTGATGCAGTCTTTCCAAATGTTTTGGTACCCTTCCCCAGAGTTGTGCCGCGACACAATCCTGTCTCGGAGCACTACGGACAATTCCTTCGACCTCATGGCTAGGTTTTTGCTCTGACATGCACTGTCAACTGTGGGACCTTATATTGACAGGTGTGTGCCTTTCCAAATAATGCCCAATCAATTGAATTGACCACAGGTGGATTCCAATCAAGTTGTAGAAACGTCTCAAGAATGTTCAACGGAAACAGGATGCACCTGAGCTCAATTTCGAGTCTCATAGCAAAGGGTGTGAATACTTATATAAATAAAGTATTTCTGTTTTTTATTTTTTATAAATTAGAAAACATTTCTAAAAACCTGTTTTCGCTTTGTCATTACGGGGCATTGTGTGTAGATTGTTGAGGATTTTTTATGTATTTATTTTAATCAATTTTAGAATAAGGCTGTAACGTAACAAAATGTGGAAAAAGGGAAGGGGTCTGAATACTTTCAGAAGGCACAGTATACAAACACCACAACTACATTATATTTTCTCTCCAAATATAATATAAACTGGTATATTTCTGGAAGTAGGCCTACAAGATGACTTGTTAGTCCTGATGCTGTCCATCTCAGCATTGTTTTAACACATACATATAGTATATACATAGACGCACACACTGAGTGTACAAAACATTAGAAACACTTGCCTAATATTGAGTTGCATCCCCACCCCCCCTTTTGCCCTCAGAACAGCCTCAATTCGTTGGGTATGGACCCTACAAGGTGTCGAAAGCGTTCCACAGGTATGCTGGCCCATGTTGACTCCCAATGTTTCCCACAATTGTGTCAAGTTGGCTGGATGTCCATTGGGTGGTGGACCATTCTTGATACGCACAGTTAACTGTTTAGCATGAAAAACCCAGCAGCATTGCAGTTCTTGACACAAACCGGTGCACCTGGCACCTACTACCATACCCCGTTCAAAGGTACTTCAATCTTTTGTCTTGCCCATTCACTCTCTGAATGGCACACATACATAATCCATGTCTCAATTGTCTCAAGGCTTAAAAATCCTTCTTTAACCTGTCTCCTCCCCTTCATCTACACTGATTGAAGTGTATTTTTTAACAAGTGACATCAATAAGGGATCATAGAATTCACCTGGTCAGTCTATGTCATGGAAAGAGCAGGTGTTCTTAATGTTATGTCCGCTCAGTGTCTATATACTTGCTCCATATAATACAGGCCTGGTTTTAACTTTGATCAGATGGACTAGCAGCGAGTGGACAGGTTTTTATAGAAAATTTTATTCAACATACATTTCCCAGCAAAAAGGCAATATACAGGAGTAGTTTGTGGTACACTGCTGCTACACGGACGAGCATCAACTGGGAAAATACCAAATCAAGGAGGAGCAGGGGTGTGATCAGGACCGTATCCACAAAGTGTCTCAGAGGAGGAGTGCTGATCTAGCATCAGTTTAGACTTTTAGATCATAATGAATAAGCTTGTACGGACAGATCATAGGTCGGCACTCCTACCCAAGACCCTTTGTGGATACGAGCCCGGATCTCATCTAGGAATTCCAGTAACTTACCCAAAATTCACTTGTTTTCCAGAAATCCCTGTTGGAAGATTCCCGGAATCAGAGGAGAACAATCAGGTAGTCTGGAATCCTCCAACTGGGATTTCTGGAAAACCTGGGAATTTTGGGAAAGTTACCGGTCCGTACCGCAGCTCATCATCTTAAACTGAACCTTAACATCACTATTAGAACCAACTGGTGCCATTAGTTCAAACAGAAAGGAGAAAAGAAAACTGAACTAAAAACAACAAGAATCTAAAGAATCAAGGAACCCTGAAAAAAATATATAACAAGGAATATGAACACCTGAATCTTTTCAATTTGTAGCCAACCAATAACAAAAGTTCTGTGTTTTCCATTTTACATGTTTTTTTTTTTAATGTTTTTTTTTTATATACAATTTCAAATCTCTTCACAAAGCCAACTATGATGGCCTTTAGGGGGGGGGGGGGGGGGGGCATTCCACCTGTGCTTAAGAAAAATTCAGTGTGTTTGTTGTTCTAATAATAATAATTATAGCAACACTGGTTCTGCGTGTATATACGGTGAAACCAGATGGCTTGTTAATGGCCAAGGCTTCCTACTAAAGCAGCACTGCTCAGTCAAACTCACCCAGCACAAAACACCAGAGGATATACACCCCATCACAAACCCTCAGGGAGAGAGGGATGGAGGGAACGTAACAGGACAGGAAAACAGGAGGGAGAGGAACAGGAGGAGCAACGTAAATCAAAAAGTACAACCAAAGTTGACATTTACCAGTCCTGAGAAATGTCAAAGCTTTGATATGAAGTGTCAACGTGCAAGATGAAAGTACAGACGACTTACTCTTTTTACATTTATTTTAAACAGATGCTGTGGTTTTTTATTTTATTATACAAGAAGATATTGCAGAAAAAGACAAAAACGTATTTATTTTAAAGATGGAAACAGTTTGACTAGTTGACTAAAGGGGAGGGGGGGATATGAAGGGCACCACATCAGGACAACTAGTCTCAAGCCTCAACCCATCTGCGCTGGTTCTCTTCTTTAAAAAAAAAGACCTAATCACCCTTATTTTCTGCAAATGACAACTTCTATCTTTTCTTTGCCTCGTCACCCGCCACTATATGCAGCAGCGCTCTTTACTTTTCGTAACAACTCTTATTATTAAAAACAAAACAAACAAAACATAAGTCTAGTAGTTCATCATCCTGTCCTGTCCTTTTTCTCCAAAGTCATTTATTTCTCCCAGACAAAAACAGGCAGTCAGAGTTAGAGAAGCCAAAAACCTAACAACCTCAAAAAAAGTAGAAGGGGGGTGGTGGTGTGGGGGGAGAGAGAGGGGTTTGGGGGAGGGGGGTGGTGGTGTGGGGGGAGATGGGTTTGGGGGAAGGGGGGGGGGGGGTTTGGGGGAAGAAGGGGTGTTGGGGGGGGGAGAGAGGTTTGGGAGGAAGTGGGGTGGTGGTGTGGTGGGGGGAGAGGTTTGGAGGAATTTGGTGGTGTTGGGGGGGGGTTTGTGGGTTGTGGGAGGAAGGTTTTGGGGTGGTTGTGGTGGTTGTGGGGGGAGAGGTTTGGGGGAAGGGGGGTGGTGGTGGTGGGGGGGGGTTGGGATTGTTTTGGTTTAGAGGTTTGGAGCAGTGGGTGGTGGTGTGTGTGGTTTGGAGGGAGTGGGGTTTTGTTTGGAGAGAGGTGTGTGGTGGTGTTGGATGTTGTGGTGTGGGGGCGGAATTTGGAGTGGGGGTGGTGTGTTGTGGGGGTGCTTTGGAGGGGGGTGGGGGTGATGTGGGGGGAGAGAGAGGGGTTTGGGAGGAAGAGGTGGTATAGTTTCATCATCATCATCAGCAGCCTGCTAATGGATGGATGGATCCATGTGACAGAGACATCACGGTGTCTGTCTGTAGGGAGGTTAGAGCTGGAGGACACACACTTGGTTGGTTACAGTCTGTGGTTATGGTGGGTTAAGGAGGAGGAAGAGGAGGGAGGAGAGAGAGGAGAGAGGGAGGGAGGGTTGCTCAGTTGTGGATCTTGATAGCTTTCTCCAGGTAGGTGTAGCGCCCTCTCTTCGGGGCTTTGTTGAAGTGGTCCAGGCCTAACCAGGGTCGAGGGTGGGACATGTTACCTAGAGGGGAGAGGAGGAATGGTAGAAAACCATAGAACATAGTTAACATTCTGAGAGAGAGAGAGAAAGCATGGTGGTGGTAGTATTAGTAGTAGTAGTAGCTGTAGTAGTATTTAGTAGTAGTAGTTAGTAGTGGTAGTAGTAGTAGTTAGTAGCGGTAGTAGTAGTAGTAGTGGTGTTGTCACAATACCAGATGTTTTACTTTGATAGCGATACCAGGTTTAGTATTATAATATGCGATACCAAAACAATACTCAATACCAAAATGATACTCAATACCAAAATGACACCAAAACGATACGACACCAAAACGATACTCGATACCAAGTCACAGAATAACCACTGGGCTAATATGTTGATAACTGGTAGAACAAATAAAATAAGACATCGAATATCTTGTTATATATTAAATGCATTGCAAAAATAAAACACCATATTAAATAACAGAAAAATACCTTACATTTTCCTGATGCAAAACCATATCAGAAACTCAGCAGACAATTTTACAACTACATCTAAACTGTTTTAAAATGTAATTTGAGACATAGGGTTAATAATATTGGGTCAAATTACATTAATTAGATCTATAATTCATTATAGCTAAATAATTGAATGTATTCAATTAATAGTTTAGTGACAAAACACACATTGAAACTAATTTCTGAAGCTTCTATATTGCAATAATCTACTCTACATGTCATAGAACTACAATCTAATTTACACAGCATACTACGATTCCCAGGGTGCATTTCATTTCCCAGGGTGCAATGCTCTGCCCAGGGCTGCTGGCTGGCTAGTGGCTACTGCTAGGAAGTCCAGACAAACGTGAAGTAGTCTAAATATACTGCGGTCAAGTTATGAGTGCATTTCACCTTACTTTTGGGTTGGGTAATCATATTATAATGCTCACATGTTCATGTCATGCTGAATATATGTTCATGTCATTGTCACCAAAAAAAATCTTCAAATTTAGTAGAATAATGACAACGTTACAATGTGATGTGTAAAATATTTTTATGTTGTCATTTTGGAACTAAACCTCCCTTGCACTGCACTGCTTTGTTCCACCTTTTATTTAGGTGGGCTGGACCTCGTCATCTGCTCTGTAATCAAAGTATTCCCATAGTTCACTTCTGCAGACATTTTGTCAACAAGCTGCAGGCGTGGAGTTTATGTTTTCATTTGAAGAAGCCATGCTGTCTACTGCCCCCTTGAGAAGACAAGTAGCCTGGCTAGCTACTGCCCCCTTGAGATTCAAACAAATTACTAGACAGACTGGATCCTCTCAATCCGTACATGACACGAGACATTTGACAGAAGTGTAGTACCGAACCGTTTTTCATGTTCTAGTCTCAGTTTTGGTATAGTAGTACTCAGTAGGGTACCTGGCTGTGGCTGGAAGTCTTTCAGGTTGACCTCGTACTCATCCTCAGTGATGTACTGATGCCGGCCCATCATCACTATCGCAAACTTGAACTGCAGACAAAACAAAGAACACAGTGAGTATTCATAAAGCAGTTTATACTCAACCCTCCTGGTTATAACTGCTCATCAAACAGGTCATAAAGCAGTTTATACTCAACCCTCCTGGTTATAACGGCTCTTGTTATGAGGAACAAAGCAATACTGGGGCGGTATTCATTATGCCAAACAGTAGCAAAACATTTTAAAAGGGAAAACTAAAACGGAAAACTGAAACAAGCGGTCCAGGTAGTCTCTCCCCGCTTCAGTTCGTTAAGTATCTAATGAACAGGACCCAGGTGTAAAGAGAGGTGAGCGAGAGAGAGAGAGAATCTGCAGGTTCCATGAAGTTGAATTTAAGACTTTTTAATGCCACTTGGAATGCAATTTAAATGCGCCACACACCTGCTAATATTCCTCTCCAGAAGTCAGCTCATGTTGGTGAAAAGTAGTAGTTTAGTGCTGGCCCTTTCACCAAAAGGCTACAGCCTACATGGCTCATATTATAAGGCAGGTGTGTCGTTATAGCAATGAGCCTTCTCCTGTAGCCTAATGGATATAGTAGCATAGTGGCCAGGCTATAGATGGCTTATGGATGTAGTAGCATAGTGGCTAGGCTATAGATGGCTGTAGTAGCATAGTGGCCAGGCTATAGATAGCTGTAGTAGCATAGTGGCTAGGCTATAGATGGCTTATGGATGTAGTAGCATAGTGGCTAGGCTATAGATGGCTGTAGTAGCATAGTGGCCAGGCTATAGATAGCTGTAGTAGCATAGTGGCCAGGCTATAGATAGCTGTAGTAGCATAGTGGCCAGGCTATAGATAGCTGTAGTAGCATAGTGGCTAGGCTATAGATGGCTTATGGATGTAGTAGCATAGTGGCTAGGCTATAGATGGCTTATGGATGTAGTAGCATAGTGGCTAGGCTATAGATGGCTTATGGATGTAGTAGCATAGTGGCTAGGCTATAGATGGCTGATGGATGTAGTAGCATAGTGGATAGGCTATAGATGGCTGATGGATATTGTAGCATAGTGGCTAGGCTATGGATGGCTGATGGATGTAGTAGCATAGTGGATAAGCTATAGATGGCTGATGGATATTGTAGCATAGTGGATAGGCTATAGATGGCTGAAGCATGGGGTTGCCCATCTGCATTTCTTTAGGCTACCTCAATGGGCTAATCATTAGCTAGATCACACTCTTAAGTGTTCAGAATTTTGGAATCGATACCAATACCAGCTTAGTATAATGATAGTTAATACCATAACGATACCACTGGGAAAAAAATGCCTTAAAGCACTGCTCAAACACATCCGAGTCAGCTTAACAAGGTCCTGTTGAGCAGTTGATTTGCTCAAACACATCTGAGTCAGCTTAACAAGGTCCTGTTGAGCAGTTGATTTGCCCAAACACATCTGAGTCAGCTTAACAAGGTCCTGTTGAGCAGTTGATTTGTAGAATCTGGTGTTAAAGTAGGGCTGGAACAAAAGCCTACACACCCGGTAACTCTCCTGGAGATCTTATACTAGAACATTAGAACATTAGACTACAACCAAGAAGTCTAATAAAATAATTCCCTCATTCAGTGAATTAGGTATCAAATGGCTATACTTAGCAGCGAGGTAGCTAAGCAGGAAGGTTCTAGACTGACTTACCAGTGCCAAGTAAGACATTAAAGAAGTTAGCTATTTAATCTAACATGTTCTGGGAATGTATGATGGATATTTTGATGTGCAACATGTCAAAATAGGATCCCGGATAATCAGATATTTTTGGCTCTTTAGAGGTTAATGTGCCTGCATGTTTTTAGTGAATATTGTCCTAGCCTATATGCTACATCATTCACCACCTGAGGAACTGGGAAATCAAAACACATTGGCTGTATTGCTAACTGTAAATATGATATCGCAATTACATACTCCGCTAGTAAAGCGGTGTTATTTCCTTTATATTGACAGTTGAGAAATAAATTGTTATACTCACATAAAGCTGAAACTACAATTTTTTTAACAACACTAACAGTAGTCGTTTTAACAACGGTATTTCCTGCAATTACATTCCCAAAAATGTTTCTCAACTATCAGTATGCTTGCGTGTTTCAAAACGCTCCCTTCACTCCTTGTGCAAAGTGGGGAGAGGGAGTGAGAGCCAGCAGCATCCCAGCCTTAGCTGGTGGACACCATGGAAAGAGAGAGAGCAATGAAGAGGGAGGAAGGAGAGAAAGAGAGAGGGAGGGAAGGAGAGAAAGAGAGAGGGAGGAAAGGAGAGAAGGTGAGAGGGAGGGAGGGGAGAAGGAGAGAGGCAGCGAAGGAGAGAGAGAGAGAGACTGAGGAAGATGAGGGAAGAAAGTACTGACCTTCTCAAACTCTTTCTCCTGGATTTCCAGCATGCTCTGAATCCTCCTCATCACATCCCTGAACGGCTCACCCTGAGAACACAGAGTTAGTCAAACACACACGTGAAAAACCCAGCAGCGTTGCAGTTCTTGACACAAACCGGTGCACCTGGCACCTACTACCATACCCTGTTCAAAGGCACATAAATATGTTGTCTTGCCCATTCACCCTCTGAATGGCACACATACACAATCCATGTCTCAATTGTATCAAGGCTTAAAAATCCTTCTTTAACCTGTCTCCTCCCCTTCATCTACACGGATTGAAGTCGATTTAACAAGTGACATCAATAAGGGATCATAGCTTTCACCTGGTCAATATGTCATGGATAGAGCAGATGTTCTTAATGTTTTGTATACTTAGTGTATATCACCGAATAGTCGGTAAGATCCTAGTGGTGATTAAGGTGGTGAGGATGGTTATGGTCCTTACCAGCATTGGTATTTAGCCTATTTATTTTCCAACAGCAGTAACGGCAATCACTTGTCATTATTAACGTTATACTAATTATTCTTAATTTGTCTGTTATTTGGCTAATTTACAAATAGGAGCACCTCTCTTGGTCATGCCATAGGCTTAGGTTTTTGGCTGGGCAACAATGTAACAGGATTCATGGGACAGTCCATCTTTTTTTGGGCCTTGCCAAATCTGGGTTTTTAGGACGGTAAAGGAGCGTTACTGATAGTCTCAGGGACTACAGCCCTTTCTGGTATGGGGGAGGTTTTCACAGGAGGGATATTGGAAGACAATTGGAGTTTTACTTAGTCAGTTGCATAGTCAGTGTGTTTAGAAGTGCATATATCATGGTACTGCTACTGGGAAAGAGGTCAGGTATTGATTCTGGGAAATATGGATAACAGCTTGGGCATCAAGGTGTTTTATTTTTGGTAGCAATTATACTGGCATGTATTATGGTAAGAATAACTGAAACGTACGTGTCTTTATGGTAAGTGGTGAAATAAGTATAGCTAGTTAGAATTGTAATGTTTAGCAGATTATAAAAAAGAATCAGTTACTTGGCTAAAAGAGGAATATCATATTTATTGTTTACACAGGAAACCCACTCCTAACCTAGTGAGATATACATGGAGGCTTAATCAAGCTAGTAGTATTGACTACTTTCTTGTGTTCTTCTTTCTGGCACCAAAAGTTTAAAAGCGTTGATAGGAGACAGAACACGACCGGACCACCATCTAATTGGTATCAACATAAAACGTAAAGAATTTCCACGTTGGCGGGGAAATTTGAAATGCAATCAACTGGATGACAATCTGTTCTTAATAATTTCGAACTTACTTTTTCCCCACACGACATTGGTACAGCAGATCCCCTTATTGTATGGGACACGTTTAAAATGTTCTTTCAGAGGCCATTCAATACAATACCCATCATTAGGTCAAAAGAGATTAGACTATCAAACGAAAATAGAGGAGCCAACACCACAGGTAGATAGCAATAAAAACTGTCCCATAGAGGCACAAAACAAGCTAGAATAAAATCTTATTCATGTTTAATTTATTACAAAAATAAAGGGAACAGGATGGAAAATCGTGAAAAATGCACCCATTTTCTTGAACATTCAACGTATAAATGCTACCAAAAAGAACTTGCAGAAACTCGTTACAAATGACAGAATCCTCCATGATTCACCTAATTATATTATGAAAGAAGAAGCTAAATATTTTAGGCATATGTTTTCTTTTCAGATTCCTCTATGTCCGCTAAATTATGCATCCTGTAAATATTTTTCCTAATAATAAAAATTTAAAATTAAAAACTGTACAGAAAGAATTGTGAAGGCCACATTACAGAGGAGGAACTTCTTGAGGCAATTAAATCCTTTCAGTCCGGAAAAACCCCTGGGCTTGATGGCATACCAGTAGAGGTATATCAAACCTTTGATCTACTCAAAATATCCATTATTAGCATGTTTTAACCACTCCTATTAAAATGGTAAGACTATCAGGTATTCAGCAAGAAGGTCTGATTTCACTATTACTGAAACAGGACCCAGGTGGTAAGTATAAAGTTCCAATCCTTAAAATAAAACTGGATTCCCCTTACACTTCAATGCTGTGATGCAAAAATCCTGGCAAAATGAATAGTGAATAGAATTAATAGCAGACGTCAAAAAAGGCCTTTGATAAATCTTGGGGAATATCTTGCACAATAGGTTAAAGTCATGTATAGCAACACCAGATGTAAAATAGTAAATAATGGTTACTTTTAAACTGCCCAGAGGAGTTAAACAAGGATGTCCATTGTCTCCATATTTATTTGTTATGGCCATTGAAATGCTCTCTTAAGATCAGATCGAACAATAACATCAAGGGTTTAGAAACCCATTGCCTAAAAACAAAAGTGTCAACGTATGCAGATGACTCAAGTTGATCTATTTATGAAAAATTAAATAAAATAAAAACACACTGATTAACTCCAATCATATCACAGTTTACGTATTTACTTACGGCGCTGCCTACTCCAGACGACGCGTCTTTCAAATTATATGAGCAAAACATATTTACATTTACTTGTAATGGTAAGCCATACTAAATTAAATGTGCTTATTTATATAATGAATATGTTTGGGGTGACTGAAACGTAAATATTAAAGCATTTAACATCTCACTAAAAGCTTCACTAACACAAAAGTTATACTTAGTTCTCCAGCAGCAACATTTGTAGTTAATCCACAACACAAGACAGCATAACAGACATGCTTCAGTATTAGGCTGTCAGTCAACACACAGACACACATACGAAACACACCAGATCCAGCCAGTCAGACATAACAGTCACTCACACCACATCCAGTCAGTCAGACATAACATTCACTCACACCAGATCCAGTCAGTCAGACATAACAGTCACTCACACCAGATCCAGTCAGTCAGACAGAACAGTCACTCACACCAGATCCAGTCAGTCAGACATAACAGTCACTCACACCAGATCCAGTCAGTCAGACAGAACAGTCACTCACACCAGATCCAGTCAGTCAGACAGACAGAACAGTCACTCACACCAGATCCAGTCAGTCAGACAGAACAGTCACTCACACCAGATCCAGCCAGTCAGACAGAACAGTCACTCACACCAGATCCAGCCAGTCAGAACAGTCACTCACACCAGATCCAGCCAGTCAGTCAGAACAGTCACTCACACCAGATCCAGCAAGTCAGTCAGAACAGTCAGTCACACCAGATCCAGTCAGAACAGTCAGTCACACCAGATCCAGTCAGAACAGTCACTCACACCAGATCCAGTCAGAACAGTCAGACACACCAGATCCAGTCAGAACAGTCACTCACACCAGATCCAGTCAGTCAGAACAGTCACTCACACCAGATCCAGTCAGTCAGAACAGTCACTCACACCAGATCCAGTCAGAACAGTCACTCACACCAGATCCAGTCAGAACAGTCACTCACACCAGATCCAGTCAGTCAGTCAGACAGAACAGTCACTCACACCAGATCCAGTCAGTCAGACAGAACAGTCACTCACACCAGATCCAGTCAGAACAGTCACTCACACCAGATCCAGTCAGAACAGTCACTCACACCAGATCCAGTCAGTGAGACAAACATGAAACGGAGTAAGACAACACACACCTGTCTGATCTTCAGCAGGAAAGGGATACCGAACGTTCCAAAGACCTCCTTGTGGAAATGTGCGACGGGAATCAACATCTCAGTGTCTTTATCCAGGTCCACCTGGTCCAGAGGAAGTTCCTAGAGAGAGAGAGAGAGAGGAATCAACATCAGTGTCTTTTATCCAGGTCCACCTGGTCCAGAGGAAGTTCCTAGAGAGAGTGAGCGAGCAAGAGGTTAGGAGGAGAGGAGGAACGTACCTCTATTCTGAAGGTACGGCTGGCGGCGGGAGATAAACATTCTAACAGCTCGTCCTCCTGGTGAACCCCAATGATCTTATAGCTTACTATCTCCAACAGCCTGGAGAGAGGGAGGGAGGGGGGAGAGAGAGGGAGGGAGGGGAGAGAGAGAGGAAGAGGGGGGAGAGAGAGAGAGGGGGGAGAGAGAGAGAGGGGGGAGAGAGAGAGGGAGGGAGGAAGGGGGAGAGGTTAGAGGCAGGGTGGAGAAAAGTAGAGAACAGCAGCAGTCTTGTATAATAATAGCATTGAATAACCACTGGATGTAATACAGGCCTGACCACCAGAGGGCAGCACTGTTGTGACACTGTCACTCACACCCTCTCTCTGCTTACCGGAGCTTCTCTGATCCTTTGTCGGAGAGCTCCACAGCTTTTTTACATTCCTCCAGCAGGTCCCGGACACAGCCGTGTTTATCTGGGTAGAGAGTGATCTCCTGGAGGGAGAGGTAGTTATGAAAATCCTTTATTCACCATCACGGTCAAAGGTTAGAAAGCATGTGTGAGATCAAATTTTTCATACGAGGTAACAGTACAGAATGTCACCTTTTATTTGAGGGTATTTTCATACACATCTGTTTTTGAAATGAATGTACTTTATACATCTTGTCTCCCCATTTAAAGAAGTCATAAGTATTGGGTCAAATTCACTTGTGTATTAAAGCAGTCAAAGTGTAGTATTTGATGTATTAAAGCAGTCAAAGTGCAGAATTTGGTCCCATATTCCTAGCACGTAACGACTACATCAAGCTTGTGACTACCAACTTGTTGGATGAATTTGCTGCTTGTTTTGGTGAAACATAAAAGAAAAGATCATGCCCCGACCCCCACCTCTCACCATTACCAATAACAGGGGAGCATTTTGGGGGGGTATGTTCTTTACCCATGATTTTGGGGGTATGAGTGATCATTATTATTCATGATTCATTCATGATTATCCATAATCATGGTAGCATCCACATTAATGTAGTTTCAAAACATATTATATTGTTATTTACAATAAAAATGACACAATACATGATTTACTCTTCAGTTGCTATTGGGAAAACAAGCAGCAAATTCATCCAACAAGTTGGTAGTCACAAGCTTGATGTAGTCATCGCGTGCTAGGAATATGGGACCAAATACTACACTTTTGACTATTTTAATACACCAAATACTTGACACCTTCAAATGGGGGGACTAGATACATAAAGAGCTTTAATTTGTTAACGGTAAAACAGATATGTATGAAAATACCCTCAAATAAAAGGTGACATTATGTTCTGTTGCCTCAGAAAACATTTGATCTCAAATTCAAAATGCTGGAGTATACAGTCAACTTAAAAGTCTTAGCTTCACTGTCTATATAAATAGGGAGGAGAGTGTGTGTGTGTTACCTCTTCTCTGTATTGGCTGTTGAGCAGGGAGGGGAGTGTGTGTGTGTTACCTCCTCTGTATTGGCTGTTGAGCAGGGAGGGGAGTGTGTGTGTGTTACCTCCTCTCTGTACTGGCTGTTGAGCAGGGAGGGGAGTGTGTGTGTGTTACCTCCTCTGTATTGGCTGTTGAGCAGGGAGGGGAGTGTGTGTGTGTTACCTCCTCTCTGTATTGGCTGTTGAGCCATATGGACTTGAAGCTCCTCCTGTTCTCAAAGTCTGTGATCTTCATCTTCAACTGAGAGGAGAGACAACATTAACAGTCAGTACACACACAGACACAGGTACACACACACGATGTCAACCTTTGTCCTATCATGATTATGTACCCAGAAAACATTGTGATATGCCATCGCCCCCTATTGGACAACCCAATTTATTTTTAATATAGTAAAAGATTAAGCTAAAACAACAGTTGGGCTATAGCGCGAAATCGAATGCAACTGGACGAATCATGACGAAATATAATGTTGAATGACTGGACGAATCATGATGAAAGATAATGTTGTTGACAGCCTGGGCGAATCATGAGGAAAGACAATGTTGTTGACAGCCTGGGCGAATCATGAGGAAAGATAATGTTGTTGACAGCCTGGGCGAATCATGAGGAAAGAATGTTGTTGACAGCCTGGGCGAATCATAAGGAAAGAATGTTGTTGACAGCCTGGGCGAATCATGAGGAAAGATAATGTTGTTAACAGCCTGGACAGAGGCTGAGTGCAGCCACATCTTCTCTAATATCCCTTTCTGGTGGAGGAGCTTCAGCATGGAACAGGTGTGTGTGTGTGTGTGTGTGTGTGTGTGTGGCGCACTGTGATGGAGCAGTGATGAGGGACGGGCCATAAGCCATCAAGGAAATGCTTCTTTTGAAATCAATGAAAGCTGCTTTATTGCCCGTGTTGCGCTCGAGTTGCGTCACGTCCAGTGTCCAAGCTCAAGAATTGGCGAGGTTCAATTCTCGATGGCTGACGCACACATTCATTCCATCTTGTGAATTGAAGTGAGAAATAAAGTTGATTTTGGTTGCATATGGCCTCCACCAGCCACCACTGGCTATGGCCTCCACTGGCTATGGCCTCCACCAGCCACCACTGGCTATGGCCTCCACTGGCTATGGCCTCCACCAGCCACCACTGGCTATGGCCTCCACTGGCTATGGCCTCCACCAGCCACCACTGGCTATGGCCTCCACTGGCTATGGCCACCACTGGCTATGGCCTCCACCAGCCACCACTGGCTATGGCCTCCACCAGCCACCACTGGCTATGGCCTCCACTGGCTATGGCCTCCACTGGCTATGGCCTCCACTGGCCACCACTGGCTATGGCCTCCACTGGCTATGGCCTCCACTGGCTATGGCCTCCACCAGCCACCACTGGCTATGGCCTCCACCAGCCACCACTGGCTATGGCCTCCACCAGCCACCACTGGCTATGGCCTCCACCAGCCACCACTGGCTATGGCCTCCACCAGCCACCACTGGCTATTGTACTACAATTTATGAAGTCAAGAAGCTACTACTACTAGCTAGATATATTGATCAGCTAGGTTCACATTGTAAACAAAAGCAATTTGTGTAATTAGAGGATCATTGAGTCCAACCACTAGCAACAATTTAATGAGTACCTGCTGAAAACTCTCCCCTTTGTTCCTCTCTCAAAACAACACGCTCTGTGTAGCAGGTAAAACACCACATTAACACAATGCTGAGGAAGACTAGGCATCTACCACCCCACTACCACTATCAGATTAGAGCCATGAGGGAGACTAGGCATCTACCACTATCAGATTAGAGCATAAGGGAGACTAGGCATCTACCACTATCAGATTAGAGCATAAGGGAGACTAGGCATCTACCACTATCAGATTAGAGCCATAAGGGAGACTAGGCATCTACCACTATCAGATTAGAGCCATAAGGGAGACTAGGCATCTACCACTATCAGATTAGCGCTATAAGGGAGACTAGGCATCTACCACTCTCAGATTAGAGCCATAAGGGAGACTAGGCATCTACCACTATTAGATTAGAGCATAAGGGAGACTAGGCATCTACCACACCACTATCACTATCAGATTAGAGCCATAAAGGAGACTAGGTATCTACCACCCCACTACCACTATCAGATTAGAGCATAAAGGAGACTAGGCATCTACCACTATCAGATTAGAGCCATACGGGAGTCTAGGTATCTACCACCCCACTACCACTATCAGATTAGAGCCATCAGGGAGACACAGCATCTACCACTATCAGATTAGAGCCATAAGGGAGACTAGGCATCTACCACCCCACTACCACTATCAGATTAGAGCATAAGGGAGTCTAGGCATCTTCCACTATCAGATTAGAGCCATAAGGGAGTCTAGGCATCTACCACTATCAGATTAGAGCCATAAGGGATACTAGGCATCTACCACCCCACTAACACTACCAGATTAGAGCCATAAGGGAGACTAGGCATCTACCACTATCAGATTAGAGCATAAGGGAGTCTAGGCATCTACCACTATCAGATTAGAGCCATAAGGGAGACTAGGCATCTACCACTATCAGATTAGAGCATAAGGGAGACTAGGCATCTACCACTATCAGATTAGAGCATAAGGGAGACTAGGCATCTACCACTATCAGATTAGAGCCATAAGGGAGACTAGGCATCTACCACTACCAGATTAGCGCTATATCAGATTAGAGCCATAAGGGAGACTAGGCATCTACCACTATTAGATTAGAGCATAAGGGAGACTAGGCATCTACCACACCACTATCACTATCAGATTAGAGCCATAAAGGAGACTAGGCATCTACCACCCCACTACCACTATCAGATTAGAGCATAAAGGAGACTAGGCATCTACCACTATCAGATTAGAGCCATAAGGGAGTCTAGGTATCTACCACCCCACTACCACTATCAGATTAGAGCATAAGGGAGCCTAGGCATCTACCACTATCAGATTAGAGCATAAGGGAGTCTAGGCATCTACCACTATCAGATTAGAGCCATAAGGGAGACTAGGCATCTACCACCCCACTAACACTACCAGATTAGAGCCATAAGGGAGACTAGGCATCTACCACTATCTGATTAGAGCCATAAGGGAGACTAGGCATCTACCACTATCAGATTAGAGCCATAAGGGAGACTAGGCATCTACCACTATCAGATTAGAAAGCCTAAGGATACTAGGCATCTACTACTTAGAGCATAGATAGCATCTACCTGATTAATGATATGCTACCTCTATGGTAGAGTGTGAGCTGGGCTATTTGACTAGGCTACCCTCACTGGTCAGCGTGTGAAGAGGCCATATCAGTTTGACTAGGCATCTAGGCACGTATAAGCTAGGCTCAGTTGGACTAGGCTACCTCTCACTGGTCAGCGTGTGAAGCTGGGCTCATGCTCAGTTTGACTAGGCATGATACCAGATTCTCATAAAATAGGATCAAAGCGTTCACATGAAGTTGTTCCACATAAGGACACATCAGCTGTCATTTGATGGCATTTAGCGGAGATGCATCTACATATGTTAGAGCCAGGGTGCCGGTCGTCACTACAGATAGACATAAGGAGATGATAACTGATTAGATAGAGCATATGGAATGGAGGACCCGAAAGGAATGATGACTATGTACTGCCTGTGCTGTGAAGCTGAGAGCCGTCTAGACTAGGCAGGTGGAGACGGCCCAGTGCAGTTTGAATAGGCTACCATCCAGCTGTCAGCGTATCAGAGCGGCTCAGTGTGACTGGTCATCATGGTCAGCGCTGAACGGGCCAATCCAGTTTGGTATGATAGTTGCTGGGTGCTACATTGAAATAACTGAGATCTGAGGTCCTACATTTGTTCCAGAGGACCATTTCTGTCCAAGATGAGGTAAGGTAATAGAGAAAAGTAAGTGAGGAACGTGAATGGATTTTGAGAGAGTAATTTGGACGGGTTGAGGGTGAGAACGAAACTGTATTAAACAGTGAATGGGGGAAAGGAGACTGGGGCTCTGCTGTGCACTGAGAGACGCCGTTCTACACTGTGACGCCCCAGTCAAGTTTAAATAGGCTCAACCATCCGCTGTCACATCACTATGTCATCACCATCGATGATGACTGTCAATCATATCGCCCTACAGGTACACACACACAGACCTGTTGGTAGTATAGTTTCTTGGGCTGACGTGGTTTGAAGAACTGCAGCAGATCTCGGAGAGTTCCTTCATAGTTGTGTCTGAGAGGATTCCCAGGTCCGTCTCTGTACCTGCCCAGAGAGGACAGGAGAGGGGGAGGAGAGAGGAGGAGTAGAGAAGGAGGGGAAGGAGAGAGGGAGGAGGAGTGGAGAAGGAGGAGGAGAGTGAGGGACAAGGGGAGGAGGAGGAGAGACAGAGGGGGACAGGGGGAGGAGAGACAGAGGGGGACAGGGGGAGGAGAGACAGAGGGGGACAGGGGGAGGAGGAGAGACAGAGGGGGACGGGGGGAGGAGGAGAGACAGAGGGGGACGGGGGAGGGGGAGGAGAGACAGAGGGGGACGGGGGAGGGGGAGGAGAGACAGAGGGGGACGGGGGAGGAGGAGGAGAGAGAGGGGGACAGGGGGAGGAGGAGGAGAGACAGAGGGGGACAGGGGGAGGAGGAGGAGAGACAGAGGGGGACAGGGGGAGGAGGAGGAGAGACAGAGGGGGACAGGTTACTCAACAAGTCAACTTGGTGCTTCAAAGGTTTATACCTGTACTGACTCAGTCTGGCACAGGTGAAACAGGAGTGTGTGTCCGTGTTTGTCCGTCCATGTGTGTGTGACTGCAGTCCTACCCCTGGGATTTGAAGAACTGAAGGAGCATGGGATCTGTGTTCAACCTCTGAGCCACCGTCTTCGCCACCTGACAGACAGACACAATAAAGAGAATATCCAGTACTGTTGTATACTTTATAGCCAGTAGCTCTGAAAGTAGCACTCATGAGCCAGAAGTGGTCCCAGAAAACTACGTCACTACGTGCACCACGTCATTGCTCTCTCTCTCGCTACTGTGTCCACTGAGCCCGCCCTGCAACCGCATTGGATAACACTGGGCTGGCCTCTTGCTAGCTGTCACTCAAATGCGAGGGGCGGAAGCTCATTGTAACTCGAAATACTAGGGAACTGGCCCATGGGGTGGTAGGGAATATGGTGTGGCACAGCTTCAAGAAAACAGTCACTTTCAAACTAGGGATTTCGTGCCTAATTGAGGTAAGGCAGTAATTCTGCTCATAGATTATGCATGTATGAACTACACATTGACACATCCAGTCCAAAGCAGGAGGTAAAAAAAATACTTTCTTAGTTGCCAAAGTACCAGAGCATGTCTTTAACTCACACTAGCTCTGTTGAACAATACCCAAATATTGAAGGAACAGTCACGGGTAAACTAACGCAGATACAAGATAGTGCGACCTCTTGCTGACCTGGAAGTAGTTCATCCTGTTGGAGAGTGTGACGACGAAGCCGGGGTCGTTGTGGATGGTCTTGTCACAGAAGATGACGTCCACTCTGTGGTAGAGGTCTCGGAAGTAGTCTTTGGCTGTAGGCAGCTCACTGCTGTCGTTCTCTGGGTCATCTCTGCAGGGAGGGAGGGAGAGAGACACAAACAGACAGACATTAGCTGGGAGAGGCTCGTCAATACGGTACGGAATTCTCCAAACACAATTGATGGGTGTGGACGAGCATTACATTTTCTACAACAGGGCTCTCCCAACCCTGTTCCTAGAGAGATACCCTCCTGTAGGTTTTAACTCAAACCCTGTTCCTGGAGAGATACCCTCCTGTAGGTTTTAACTCCAACCCTGTTCCTGAAGAGCTATCTACCCTCCTGTAGGTTTTTGTTAGATTCCCGGGACCACCCTTATGTAAAACATTTATGCACGCATGACTAAGTGGCTTCGGATAAAATGGCATCATTGTCAAGCCTTTTGATTCATGTGTGTGTTAGTGCTCTAAGGGGCTAGTGCTCTAAGGGGCTAGTGCTCTAAGGGGTTAGTAGTCTAAGGGGTTAGTAGTCTAAGGGGTTAGTGCTCAAACGGGTTGGCATGTTGGATGAACTTACTTCTGGAAGACTATGATATCTCCATCCATGAGTTCGTCCAGGGCCTTGTCCAGTGACACGTCGTAGTCCTGTATCCGCTCTGTTAAATTAGGCTTCACTTCCTGGAACACAGACACATGGGAGATAGAGGATGTTAGACCTGTGTGTGTGTGGATAAGTGTTAGACCTGTGTGTGTGTGTGTGGATAAGTGTTAGACCTGTGTGTGTTTCTCACCTCATAGAGGATAAGGTTAGTCTCCTGTTGAAACCCTGCTCTCTCACACATGACAGGCAACAGGTCTCCTGGTAGAGAAAACAGCATACATTTAACACTGCTTTACATACACACACACCCCATTTCAACACTCTGATGCTACTCCACATGCACCACAGGGTTCTCCCCAGAAGGAGGTGCTGCTGAGTAAGGAGGGGGAGGCCTGGAGGGACCCCTTTAGGAATCACATTAACCCCCCCTAACTGCCCTTTCCTGCAATCTAGAGCCTTAAATGATAACAGATTAAGTAGTTACATAGTGGCGCAACCAGTCCACAAGGTGGCACAGCACCCCACTTACGTATTGTTAGAGGAGGACCCTGCACCATTCAGCCCAGACACAGGAGGGTCCTGACATATTTTTAGGGGAGGACCCTGCACCATTCAGCCCAGACACAGGAGGGTCCTGACATATTTTTAGGGGAGGACCCTGCACCATTCAGCCCAGACACAGGAGGGTCCTGATATATTGTTAGGGGAGGACACTGCACCATTCAGCCCAGACACAGGAGGGTCCTTACGTATTGTTAGGGGAGGACCCTGCACCATTCAGCCCAGACACAGGAGGGTCCTGATATATTGTTAGGGGAGGACCCTGCACCATTCAGCCAACACACAGGAGGGTACTTACGAATTTTACAGGAGATAGCTGTGTAGATATGTCCACAATAATTTAAGCTTCTGCTTTTTGGATCATACATCTTCAAGAACAACATGACGTCGTCTGAAAGAGAAGAGAGAGATGGAGGATGATCATTAAAAAGGACTATTTTTACTTGACCAAAGTTACGTGAAAAAAACATGTACATTTCTTTCACACGACTTCTGATTTCATCTACAAAAGCAAAACGTCTTTAACTAGCTGCTTGTACCCCAGTCAGAGGGAGGTGTTAGCCCCCAGTCAGAGGGAGGTGTTAGCCCCCAGTCAGAGGGAGGTGTTAGCCCCCAGTCAGAGGGAGGTGTTAGCCCCCAGTCAGAGGGAGGTGTTAGCCCCCAGTCAGAGGGAGGTGTTAGCCCCCAGTCAGAGGGAGGTGTTAGCCCCCAGTCAGAGGGAGGTGTTAGCCCCCAGTCAGAGGAAGTTAACCCCAGTGTCCTAAACAACCTGGGAATAAAGGAATATCAGAACAACAGTCTTTGATATCAGTAATAATCTGTAAAATAATGTCTAAACTCACGGTCTTTGTCAAACTTGGGTAACGTTGCGCCGCTGGCGGCCATCTCAGGATCCACCGTCTCCAGAAATATAGTCCAGGGGTTCTCATTGTCACTCAAGTCTATCATCTGGGGAGCACACACACACACACACACACAGGGTTACAAACACACACACCAGTCCCTCTATGGTCCACCAAGTTGAGACTATAGGACAGTTTCTAGGTCAACCCGATGGTTATGTTACTCACCGACTTGTTGCAGTCTGCCTCATAGTCCAGCATGGCAGGTCTCTTGGTGCCATTACTCCGGGCCTGCATGGGCCACAGCCTCATCTGGTCCTGTGGGAAACCCTGCAGAACATCAATACACACTGTCAGACTGGGCTACAGCCTCATCTGGTCCTGTGGGAAACCCTGCAGACATCAATACACACTGTCAGACTGGGCCACAGCCTCATCTGGTCCTGTGGGAAACCCTGCAGAACATCAATACACACTATTAGACTGGGGCGACACACACAAGCATGGTTCCTCTCAAGGTTTCTTCCTTTGGCATTCTATGGGAGAAGTAGAACAGTGGTCAAACACCAGGTTAAGGGTAACAGAACAGAAATGAGGAGAGGACAGCAACACACAAAGAGAGAGAGACTCACCATAGTCTGGGAGAGATTCTGGACAAACTCCTGCAGCGTGGAGCTCTTCAGGACCTTGAAGACCGTATACTTCACCTTCTCCTCATCATACATGTCATTACCCTGGTGACCACAGAACTGGTCCTCTGTCACAATCTGGGAGGGGAAGACACAGAGAGAGGAAGAGTGAAAGAAAGAAACAGAGAAAGAAACAAAGACACAGAGAGAGAGATAAGTGATTCATAACACCAACATTCTCCAAAATATGTTCTATTAGCTGGACCTCTGAATGGGGGGGGGGCTCCAAGCCTTACCTGGACCTGCATGTAGAGATGGGCCTCCTGACGCTCCTTCCTCTTCTGCGCCTCCACCCTCTTCTCCTCCTGAAGCCTCTCCACCAGCTGCTGGGGGATGTCCACGTCGTTCACCGCCAGCAGCACCTCACCTGGGGGGAGACGGGTAAATACAGGCTTATCTAACAGTAGACAGTGTTAACTACCATGTGTTAAGGTAGTATAAGGCTTCATAGCATTGACCTACTGAGTTATAAGGCTTCATAGAGTTCTAAGTCATCATATCCTGACTTACTGAGTTTAGACTCGCGGATGTACACCAGCATGTAAGCGTTGGTACAGTGACGTACTGATAGGTCATCGTCATGGCCACCATAGTTGTGTTCGATGGCCTCCTCCTTGGTGCACCGTGATACCACGTCATCATCAAACTTACACCACTGGAGGGGGGAGGAGACAGAGAGAGAGAGGGAGAGAGAGGAGAGAGGAGAGAGGGGGGAGGGGGAGAGAGAGAGGGGGAAGGAAGAGGAGAGAGAGAGGGAGGAGAGAGAGACAGACACAGAGACAGAGAGAAGAGAGAGGGAGGAGGAGAGAGGGAGGTGGGAGGAGGAGAGAGGGAGGTGGGAGGAGGAGGAGAGAGAAAGAGGCACAGATGTACCTTATTAAGACAACAGTTTGTGTACAGTCATTTTATAATTTCTCAGGACACACAGAGTGGCTGGGCAGTGTTGGCAGCATATTATGACATCACTTCCACTCACTACGCTAATAAAACTACAAAACACCTTTCAAGTTTACAATATAACAGTAGTTCTTACGCCACATTAATTATCAAATATACTACCACCACCAGTACATTTAACTGACTGACTGGTTGGTTGGTTGGGGGACTCACGATGGGTTCCTTGACGCTGACTTTGCCGTCTCCTTTGGGGTTGAGGTAGACGACATAGTGTCCTCCATGGTTGTCGCCGCTGTGTACCAGCACGGCATGCAGGATGTAGTTGGCCGGGTCCTTAGAGTCAGTCTTCTGGAGGAACTCATCCAGGGGAAGCTGCTCCGGAAACTCAAACCTGGAAGGGGGAGGAGAGGGGAGGGAGGAAAGAGGAGAGGGAGAGAGAGAGAAGGGGGGAGAGGAAGAAAGGCGTTTTTGTGATCAGTATTATTGTGCCCATGTTCTTCCGGTGTTGTAGCTTCAATGTGAGCTCCATTCAGGACATCAGACTCCCTGGTGAAGCAGACAGGTGTGTGCTGTGTTACCCCAGTGGGGCTTTCAGGAAAGTTACTATGACCTACACTGAGTGTACAAAACATGAAGAACAAGTGCTCTTTCCACAACATAGACTGACCAGGTGAATCTAGGTGAAAGCTATGATCCCTTATTGATGTCACTTGTTAAATCCACTTCAACCAGTGTAGATGAAGGGGAGGAGACAGGTTAAAGAAGGGTTTTTAAGCCTTGAGACAATTGAAACATGTATTGTGTATGTGTGCCATTCAGAGGGTGAATGGGCAAGACAAAATATTTAAGTGCCTTTGAACAGGGTATGGTAGTAGGTGCCAGGTGCACCGGTTTGTGTCAAGAACTGTAATGCTGCTGGGTTTTTCATGCTCAACAGTTTCCTGTGTGTATCAAGAATGGTCCACCACCCAAAGGACATCCAGCCAACTTGACACAATTGTGGGAAGCATTGGAGTCAACATGGGCCAGCATACCTGTGAAATGCTTTCGACACCTTGTAGAGTTCATGCCCCAATGAATTGAGGCTGTTCTGAGGGCAAATGGGGGTGGAACTCAATATTAGGAAGGTGTTCCTGATGTTTGGTATACTCAGTGTACTTTTGGAATCAACATGTTAAGACAGGTGTGTGTTACCGGTTGTGGATCTTAATGTTTTGGTCGGTCTGAGGGTTAGGGGTATGTTAGGGGCGTGTGTGTGTGAGCTCAGTGTGTTGGTGTGTTTCCAATGGTTGATATTTATGTTTAGTTCGGTCTGAGGGCTAGGGGTATGTTAGGGGTGTGTGTGTGTTACCTAGGTAGCTATCTGTGTGTTTGTATGCCAGGTGTGTGTGTTAGCATGTGTGTGTTACCTGTCGTTGATCTTGATGTTTTGGTCGGTCTGAGGGTCGTACATGAACCTCATCAGCTGCAGGTGCAGGATGGGAGGGAAAGTCAGGAACTTCACCCCCTTCTCCGCTTCCTGAAAACACACACGGTAAGAGTACTGACTCATCATCTATGTGCAGTACCGCTAACACAGGGCTGGTAAATGGTCCCACAGCGCCTCCCTGAGCACAGAGATAGAAACTACACTACCTCCAAACAGACCACTGGGTTTTGTGATAGAAAACACTCCAGGTCTAAATCTAGATAGAACGTATGTGTAGATTATAAATGGACCCAGAGATGTTCAAATAACTGGCCCTTTTCTGATCCACAAATTTATTTTGATGAACAAATCCGTCCGAAGAATTTTGAAATCCCGATGTGGCCCTCAAGCCAAAATGATTACCCACCCCTGTTCTAAAGCCTCACCTGTAGGCCATGTTCATAAAGCACATCTATACCCATCATGAAGCTGCTATCCAGCCTGAGTGTTTATAAAGCAGCTATAACTCCACATGCCCTTTATAAAGCCTGAATAAGGCCTCATCTGTAGTCTAATAAAGCATCTATAAACCCTATATAAGCCCTTTATAAAGGCTGAATAAGGCCTCACCTGCAGGCCGTGTTCTCCTGCGTCGTATTTGTTGTCTCCGTCAAGCTGCTCCACAGCTACATAATCCTTAAACGACTCAAAGACTAGAGAGAGAACAGAAAGAGTTCAGCTAAACACACAGTCACCAACTCAGTAGCCTTCTGGTTAGAGTGTCTGCCCTGAGATCAAAAGGTTGGGAGTTCGATCCCCGGCCGAGTCATACCAAAGACTGCAAAAATGCGACTTGAAGAGTCTCTGCTTGGCACTCAGCATTCTGGAAATTGGGAGTAAAGGTCTTCCGCATGCCCAACTCAGATAATCCCTTAACACTAGAACCGCCTGGCCTTTCAGCATACTAGTACCTGCTAGAGAACGTTGCCGGGCATCATAAATAGTGCATAAACTATTGTAAATTATTAATTACATTAAGAAATATATCAATAAAAAAAATATCAATAATAGTTATTTGTTTAGCTAGTCAAGGATATGTTTTTCTATAATTCTACAAAGTCCTAGAATAATTGTAGGCCTGTAGCCTATTTTCGTTTTTCCCTTACAATAAAAATATTACAGTGTAATCCATTTTATCAACTTTATTCGTAGATTTGATTAGTAATACAGTTATAGTAATGAAAAGTCCAGTTACAGCTTCTAATGACAAAGTAGAAACTAAAAAGACAATAATAATAAACAACAACAACAACAATAATAATACCAATAATAATATAACCAGCCAGGTGCGCAGGTGAAATGATTTGATGTATTCCTAAACGAAAACCCCAGTGCATGAACAACTGTAAAGGATTAATAGTGGAAATATATTCATGACAAGATATAAAAACAGTCATTTGTTGATCGTATCAGACACTGTATTGCCTTTACACATGAATCATGCTTGGGGTCCACAGTCAGCACACAGCTTCAGTCTTCTCTTTATGATTGGGGTCAGCACACAGCTTCAGTCTTCTCTTTATGATTGGGGTCAGCACACAGCTTCAGTCTTCTCTTTATGCTTTGGGTCCAGTCAGCATATTTTATTGTATTTTTTTTTATTTTACCTTTATTTAACTAGGCAAGGCAGTTAAGAACAATGACTTATTTACAATGACGGCCTACACCAGCCAAACCCGGACGATGCTGGGCCAATTGTGCGCCGCCCTATGGGACTCCCAATCAGGGCCGGTTGTGATACAGCCTGGAATCGAACCAGGGGGTCTGTAGTGACGCCTCAAGCTCTGAGATGCAGTGCCTTAGACCGCTGCGCCACTCGGGAGCCCCCATAACGTTGGGGCTTTGTGTGAGCAAGCCCCACAAACAAACCGGTTGCACTGCACACAGTTTTCATGGGCCTTGTTTCATGTGCACCTGCCCCCACTTGACATTGTGTCTTATTTTTCCTGAGTGGGAGCTGTGGTGCTTGGGGAAGAGGGAGAGCAGGACCTGCATGGTGGCTGTAGCTTCTTTCTTGGTGTTCATGTGGTTCTCATGAAGCTCACATACCAGACCCAGCGGGACGCATGGTGCTGAGGATGGAACACTTATTTATTTTACATCTGTACACCGTGAGTGTCGCTTTACCACTCTCCATCACACCGTGAGTGTCGCTTTACCACTCTCCATCACACCGTGAGTGTCGCTTTACCACTCTCCATCACACCGTGAGTGTCGCTTTACCACTCTCCATCACACCGTGAGTGTCGCTTTACCACTCTCCATCACACCGTGAGTGTCGCTTTACCACTCTCCATCACACCGTGAGTGTCGCTTTACCACTCTCCATCACACCGTGAGTGTCGCTTTACCACTCTCCATCACACCGTGAGTGTCGCTTTACCACTCTCCATCACACCGTGAGTGTCGCTTTACCACTCTCCATCACACCGTGAGTGTCGCTTTACCACTCTCCATCACATCGTGAGTGTCGCTTTACAGATGTGGAGCACAGCTCTGCTGGTATGTTGTTTTGCACAGAGGGGGGAGCTTTACATTTTAGTCATTTAGCAGACGCTCTTATCCAGAGCGACTTACAGGAGCAATTAGGGTTAAGTGCCTTGCTCAAGGGCACATCAACAGATTTTTCACCTTTTTTTATTTTTTTTTTTTTTATTTCACCTTTATTTAACCAGGTAAGCCAGTTGAGAACAGGTTCTCATTTACAACTGCGACCTGGCCAAGATAAAGCAAAGTAGTGCAATAAAAACAACACAGAGTTACATATGGGGTAAAAAAACATAAAGTCAGAAATACAACAGAAAATATATATACAGTGTGTGCAAATGTAGCAAGTTATGGAGGTAAGGCAATAAATAGGCTATAGTGTAGAATAATTACAATAGTATTAACACTGGAATGCTAGATGTGCAAGAGATGATGTGCAAATAGAGATACTGGGGTGCAAAAGAGCAAAATAAATAACAATATAGGGATGAGGTAGTTGGGTGGGCTAATTTCAGATGGGCTGTGTACAGGTGCAGTGATCGGTAAGGTGCTCTGACAACTGATGCTTAAAGTTATTGAGGGAGATAAGAGTCTCCAGCTTCAGAGATTTTTGCAATTCGTTCCAGTCATTGGCAGCAGAGAACTGGAAGGAATGGCGGCCAAAGGAGGTGTTGGCTTTGGGAATGACCAGTGAGATATACCTGCTGGAGCGCAGACTACGGGTGGGTGCTGCTATGGTGACCAATGAGCTTAGATAAGGCGGGGATTTGCCTAGCAGTGATTTATAGATGGCCTGGAGCCAGTGGGTTTGACGACGAACATGTAGTGAGGACCAGCCAACAAGAGCGTACAGGTCACAGTGGTGGGTAGTGTATGGGGCTTTGGAGACAAAACGGATGGCACTGTGATAGACTACATCCAATTTGCTGAGTAGAGTGTTGGAGGCTATTTTGTAAATGACATCGCCGAAGTCAAGGATCGGTAGGATAGTCAGTTTTACGAGGGCATGTTTGGCAGCATGAGTGAAGGAGGCTTTGTTGCGAAATAGGAAGCCGATTCTAGTTGGCTCGGGGATTAGAACCAGTGACCTTTCGGTTACTGGCACAACGCTCTTAACCACCAAGCTACCTGCCGCCCCAGTCTTCTCTTTATGCCCACCTTTGTTTGTTCACTGTTCCTAGCAGGCTAGTCTTCTTTGTTTGTTCACGGTTCCTGCCATAGCCAGTATACACTTCCTCAAAATAGTCCGAATTAAATCAAAGATAACTCAAGAAATCTGTCAAACGTTCACTTTTTTTAAACTAAGAGATCTTAGCAATTTGACATCCAACTAAGAGGTGTTTTTTGTAACATCAGAAAATATCATCATACTATATGCACAAACTGTTCCAAACTGTTTTGGACGGGAAGCATAGACTAGCATCCTGTCCGGGGGGGGGGTGTACTTGTACATCAAGCTGTCTAACACTGCTTAGGTGGCCTAGTGGTTAGAGTGTTGGGCCAGTAACCGAAAGGTTGCTAGTTTGAATTCCTAGGTGAACATTCTGTCGAAGCAGTTCACCCCCCGGCAACAACAGCTCCCTGGGCGCCCAATGTGGTTGAACCTTGTGCGCAATTGACGGAAAAAAAAGAAAAAAGTGTGACCTTTTAATATAATCCTTTATAGCTATAGTCTTAGCTGCCATTATAGTCTTAGCTGCCATTAATGCATTTTTTTTCGCCCCACCTACAGTAAGTCCAAACATTTCGGGATGGAGAAACACTTTCAGTGTAAACTTAAGACTAAAACCATATTTATTTATAATAATCTTTGAGAACTAACAATCACCAAAATAAAAGCTAGACAGTCAGGGATAATTGAAAGTTCCAAAAACAATGAATTTAGCAGTAATGATTTAGTTATTATGTTTGAGCAAAATAACAGTATTAGCCATGGCAAAAATAACAGATTGAGAGAATTTGCTTTAAAATTGCAACTTTCTCTCTCAGCTCCATTGCAGAATCGCAGGAAATTAGCTGCAAAACTACAAAAATGTCTCTCAGCTACATGGAGCAAATTTGTAGAATTGCAGGAAATTGGCTTAAATTTGAACATTTGTCTACACCGCCAAGATACAGTGGGGAAAAAAAGTATTTAGTCAGCCACCAATTGTGCAAGTTCTCCCACTTAAAAAGATGAGAGAGGCCTGTAATTTTCATCATAGGTACACATCAACTATGACAGACAAAATTAGGGGACAAAATCCAGAAAATCACATTGTAGGATTTTTAATGAATTTTCAAATTATGGTGGAAAATAAGTATTTGGTCAATAACAAAAGTTTCTCAATACTTTGTTATATACCCATTGTTGGCAATGACACAGGTCAAACGTTTTCTGTAAGTCTTCACAAGGTTTTCACACACTGTTGCTGGTATTTTGGCCCATTCCTCCATGCAGATCTCCTCTAGAGCAGTGATGTTTTGGGGCTGTCGCTGGGCAACACAGACTTTCAACTCCCTCCAAAGATTTTCTATGGGATTGAGATCTGGAGACTGGCTAGGCCACTCCAGGACCTTGAAATGCTTCTTACGAAGCCACTCCTTCGTTGCCCGGGCGGTGTGTTTGGGATCATTGTCATGCTGAAAGACCCAGCCACGTTTCATCTTCAATGCCCTTGCTGATGGAAGGAGGTTTTCACTCAAAATCTCACGATACATGGCCCCATTCATTCTTTCCTTTACACGGATCAGTCGTCCTGGTCCCTTTGCAGAAAAACAGCCCCAAAGCATGATGTTTCCACCCCCATGCTTCACAGTAGGTATGGTGTTCTTTGGATGCAACTCAGCATTCTTTGTCCTCCAAACACGACGAGTTGAGTTTTTACCAAAAAGTTCTATTTTGGTTTCATCTGACCATATGACATTCTCCCAATCCTCTTCTGGATCATCCAAATGCACTCTAGCAAACTTCAGACAGGCCTGGACATGTACTGGCTTAAGCAGGGGGACACGTCTGGCACTGCAGGATTTGAGTCCCTGGCGGCGTAGTGTGTTACTGATGGTAGGCTTTGTTACTTTGGTCCCAGCTCTCTGCAGGTCATTCACTACGTCCCCCCGTGTGGTTCTGGGATTTTTGCTCACCGTTCTTGTGATCATTTTGACCCCACGGGGTGAGATCTTGCGTGGAGCTCCAGATCGAGGGAGATTATCAGTGGTCTTGTATGTCTTCCATTTCCTAATAATTGCTCCCACAGTTGATTTCTTCAAACCAAGCTGCTTACCTATTGCAGATTCAGTCTTCCCAGCCTAGTGCAGGTCTACAATTTTGTTTCTGGTGTCCTTTGACAGCTCTTTGGTCTTGGCCATAGTGGAGTTTGGAGTGTGACTGTTTGAGGTTGTGGACAGGTGTCTTTTATACTGATAACAAGTTCAAACAGGTGCCATTAATACAGGTAACGAGTGGAGGACAGAGGAGCCTATTAAAGAAGAAGTTACAGGTCTGTGAGAGCCAGAAATCTTGCTTGTTTGTAGGTGACCAAATACTTATTTTCCACCATAATTTGCAAATAAATTCATAAAAAATCCTACAATGTGATTTTCTGGATTTTTTTCTCTCAATTTGTCTGTCATAGTTGACGTGTACCTATGATGAAAATTACAGGCCTCTCTCATTTTTTTAAGTGGGAGAACTTGCACAATTGGTGGTTGACTAAATACTTTTTTCCCCCCAATGTAGGTGCCTCTAAATTTCTCTAAAATCCAGCCGCGCCGACAGGACGACTACACACACCACATAAGACCTTTTCAAAGCAGAAAACCTCTGCATTAAGGACAGACTGGAGCGATTAGACACACAGAAATCAAATAACCCAGAGAAGTAAAGGGATTGATACTCACTGTTTTTCTTTCCTTTGATACTGAGCTGGATATCGTAGTAATCCTCTATCCGCTCTGACCGGTAGTCAACGTGCTTACACTGGATATAGGACTGGAGAGCGAGAGATACAACACATAGTTACACTGGATATAGGACTGGAGAGAGAGAGACAGACTGTGACGGGAGAGAGACAGAAAGAGGGGGAGAGAGACAAAGAATAGAGAACGTGAACGTACCACCATCTTTCCTCTGAACAGTTTGGGGATGGTTCCCTCCACGCAGGTGCCTTTCATTTTGTTCTCAACGTTGTCCAGGAGCTGAAACACACACATTAAGAAACAAACACACACACACATTAAGAAACAAACAAACACACACTCATATTAATAAACACACGCACATTATGGAAGGAACAGAGTGTGTGAGCGGAGCGAGGAGCGTGCCCAATTTCACTGGAGCGCAGATTCCCAAAGGCTGGAGTGTTGGCCTTCTCGCCCGCTCCAATTTGGCTCCAGTAGTGCTCCAGTGGCGCTCACTTCACAAGCTCAGGGCATGCCCGGCCCAGCATGCATTTGTAGTCTACTTGTGTGCTGCTATAGCCCCTTGCTTTAGCTACTGTCACGGAGTTCACTACATATTTTCATAAAGAAACTGATAAAACAAACAAGTGCTAAATCAAGGTGACTTACAAAGATGAGGACCAAGAGCAAGAGAGGGAGAGTGATGCTGTAGTGTCCACAACTAAATAATCATTGTGGAATCTAAAAAGACACGTATCCCCGAAAGCATGATGGTGTACTTACTACGTGCACATGCTAACAGAAAGGAACAAGGTGGATAGATAACTAAGTGTGTCATTGTAGCAAAGCATTTATAAACTAAACATCAGATCTATTAAATGATTGGTTCATTTTCATTCTATTATCTATACAAAAGGCCATAATTGATTTTGGCACAATAGGCCTGTCAGATTCCTACGTTCAAGGAGCTTTCCGTTTTGATTGGGTTATTTTGCCTAAAAACCTTTTGGGCCTACCTATAGAAAAATAACAAAATAAACTCTGCATCTCTGCCCAGCCTGGCAAGAGTGAGGAGAAGATATTCTCCGCTCCTGGCCTGCTCTCCAGGCATCATCTCATGAGCCTGAAGCCACAGACTGGTCAACCTTGTGTTTCTAAAAATGAATTCGAAAAGGCACTAATATGTAATTGTTCTTTTAATTTGTATTTAATTCTAAGTAAGTCACAGCCTATATGCGTAATTTATATACTATTTATTTGTTTATTTTTTATTTAACCTTTATTTAACTAGGCAAGTCAGTTAAGAACAAATTCTTATTTACAATGACGGCCTACCCCGGCCAAACCCGGACGACGCTGGGCCAATTGTGCGCCGCCCTATGGGACTCGCAATCACGGCCGGTTGTGATACAGCCTGGAATCGAACCAGGGTCTGTAGTGACGCCTCTAGCACTGAGATGCAGTGCCTTAGACCGCTGCGCCAGTCGGGGATCCGATTTAACACAAGTTAATGTTTAAACGCTGAGTCCTTTACGTCCCTACCAACTGACTAGGTATCCCCCTTTCCCATGTGGGGGCACAGACAGAAAGGAAAAGGGATGTCTTCTTCAGGAGATCAATGATCACAGCAATGAATGAATGACTGATCTCTTTACAAACCTGACGCATCACAAACCTGACGCTTTTAAAGAGACAGTGTACAATTGAATGTAATGCATCTCAATGGGAAAATTGTTATTTCACACTATGTAAAAACCTAATATTCCATAAATGACTGTCATTTCAATGACAGGTATTTGTATCAACATTTTAGCTTTTATAATAAACTAATGTATTTACAGTAGTTTCTAGGGCACAGCATGTGCTTCAAAAGTAGCTAGAATTTGTATAGGCCCAACATAGGCTATATCTAAATCAACTTAAAAGTGCAATATGCAGAAATCGCTCCGCCATTTCTTGGTTGCTAAAATTCAAAGTTTGCCTAATTTCAGTTTGTGACAAAACAAGCAATGTATAGTGTAGAGAATCATTGTACCTCGTAAAACTGACTATCCTACCGATCCTTGACTTCGGCGATGTCATTTACAAAATAGCCTCCAACACTCTACTCAGCAAATTGGATGTAGTCTATCACAGTGCCATCCGTTTTGTCTCCAAAGTCCCATACACTACCCACCACTGTGACCTGTACGCTCTTGTTGGCTGGTCCTCACTACATGTTCGTCGTCAAACCCACTGGCTCCAGGCCATCTATGAATCACTGCTAGGCAAATCCCTGCCTTATCTTAGCTCATTGGTCACCATAGCAGCACCCACCCGTAGTCTGCGCTCCAGCAGGTATATCTCACTGGTCATTCCCAAAGCCAACACCTCCTTTGGCCGCCATTCCTTCCAGTTCTCTGCTGCCAATGACTGGAACGAATTGCAAAAATCTCTGAAGCTGGAGACTTATCTCCCTCACTAACTTTAAAACATCAGTTGTCAGAGCACCTTACCGATCACTGCACCTGTACACAGCCCATCTGAAATTAGCCCACCCAACTACCTCATCCCTATATTGTTATTTATTTTGCTCTTTTGCACCCCAGTATCTCTATTTGCACATAATCTCTTGCACATCTAGCATTCTAGTGTTAATACTAATTGTAATTATTTTGCACTATAGCCTATTTATTGCCATACCTCCATAACTTGCTACATTTGCACACACTGTATATATATTTTCTGTTGTATTTTTTGACTTTATGTTTTGTTTACCCCATATGTAACTTTGTGTTGTTGTTTTTATCGCACTGCTTTGCTTTATCTTGGCCAGGTCGCAGTTGTAAATGAGAACTTGTTCTCAACTGGCTTACCTGGTTAAATAAAGGTGAAATAAATAAATAAATACCATCTAAAAATCGCTTTGAAATATTTATTCAATAACCAAAAATATTGTATTTTCAGCTGGTGTACAAGACCTAAAGTAAAAGACGCAAAAAGTAAACCTAACACCTGGTCCGGTTGCCCAAAAAGTGACATATTGCTGCTTTTAAAAAATCGTATTTTCTGGTGCTCCTAAATGTAATGTCGTGCAACCTACCTTTTAAAAAAGTTAGGAATTTTTTTAATTTAGAGCCCTGCACACACATATTATGGAACGGACACACACACATTTATAAAACGAACACACACACACAGAAAAACGACTTACCACTCGGCAGAGCTCCTGAACGTCGTGTTGCATGAAGCTGTCTAATGTCTCCCACCTACACAGAAAACAACACGCTCACAATCACTGTCAACTACTGTCACATTTCCCACTATGTTTTAAACACTTTTACTGTCAACTACTGTCACAAAACCACCATGTTTTAAACACAATCACTGTCAACTACTGTCACAAAACCACCATGTTTAAAGCACAATCACTGTCAACTACTGTCACAAAACCACCATGTTTTAAACACAATCACTGTCAACTACAGTCACAAAACAACCATGTTTTAAACACAATCACTGTCAACTACTGTCACAATACCACCATATTTTAAACACAATCACAGTCAACTACTGTCACAATACCACCATGTTTAAAACACAATCACTGTCAACTACTGTCACAATACCACCATATTTTAAACACAATCACAGTCAACTACTGTCACAATACCACCATGTTTAAAACACAATCACTGTCAACTACTGTCACAAAACCACCATGTTTTAAACAACATGGCCACAATCACAAAACACTTCATTTCGGTCACAAAACCACCATGTTTAAATCATTGACCCATAATGGAACATGATGCAAAGCTTCACATGTTCAGGACAATGTGACTTATTACCAGTGTCCATCACATTATTCATTAGTGCACACCGTAGCAAAACATTTAGCAACGGAAAATGAAAATGAGTCAAGACAACATCAGGTAGTCCCTTCCAGTATCATCAATCAATCAGTTCCTTTCTCCAGTAGTGCTGCTAGCTGAACGGTCCTGGCACCTACCCAAAGGACTTGGTGAGTTTCTTGGTGCCGACGGGCTTGTCGCTGTGTTGCAGCTCATAGAAAACCCTCTGTAGAGCCAGCGGAACACTCTTAGACGAGTCGTCTCCCTCTGTAGGCATCATGTACACCGCCTGGTAGAGGAGAGGGGGGGGGGGGGGGGGGGGGGGGGGGGGGGGTTAGACACGCAAACACTCACTCCCTCTCTTAGAAGAGTCGTCTACCTCTGTAGGCGTTATATACACCGCCTGGCAGGCACAGAGGAGAGCGTAGTATGACAGAGTGGTAGTTAGTTGTCTCACTGACCCTCCGTAGCTGGTTGGTGAAGAACAGGGTCTGTAGGAGGCTGTTCATATAGCATGTAGCTCCCTGGTTCTTCAGGCCCACGTAGCCTGTGTGTTTCTTAGAGTCCCACCTGCACACACAGGACAGCAAGGGGTTAACCCAGCTACACTGGGGGGACAGGGGCAAGTTCACAACCACACATTGATGTCAGGATCACAGGATCTATGCTCAGTTCACTAGAAGTTAAACATTCTTAAATGAAGCTTTTAAAAAAATGATAGTTGAAATTCAAGACACTGCCGAACAGAACTTGTTCAAGGTATTGTGTTAACTCATTGCAGCTGTTATTCCAAACATCTGGTGAACTGGCCAATGGTGCCAAAACACAGAGCTGAGAGAGGACAGAAGACAGAGACAGAGACAGAGACAGAGGATAAGGAGGGAGAGAGAAGAGAGAGAGGATAAGGAGGGAGAGAGAAGAGAGAGAGACCGGGGGTATAAAGACTTACGCCACTCCGTGGGGAGCATCCGCCTGTACGTAGACTTCAAAGGAGACTTTATCATCCTCCACAAAGCCTCTCTCTGGATCAGTCACATCCTGGAAACACACATGGTAAAATCATGTTGGGTGTGTCTGTACCGATGTGTGTGTATACACCGGTGTGTGTGTATATAATGGGGTGTGTGTGTGTATATATATCGGTGTGTGTGTATACCGGTGTGTGTGTGTGTATACCGGTGTGTGTATGTATACCGGTGTGTGTGTGTATGTATGTATACCGGTGTGTGTGTGTATGTGTATGTATACCGGTGTGTGTGTGTGTGTGTATACCGGTGTGTGTGTGTATGTGTGTGTATACCAGTGTGTGTGCACGCTACTCACGCTCCAGGACATGAAGTTAGAGAAGCCCCAGTCGTTCTCCTTGTGGAAGAAGAGGTGGCTGATTCTGCGGCTGAACGACTTCTCATCGTCCTTATAGTTGATGATCTTTAGCATGGCCTGAGCATGGCATGACCACGACCTAGCAGGGGGACACATTTACACGTTACACCAGGAAACAACTTCAGCATGGCACGACCAGGACCTAGCAGGGGGGCACATTTACACATTACACCAGGAAACAACTTCAGCATGGCACGATCTAGCAGGGGGACACATTTACACGTTACACCAGGAAACAACTTCAGCATGGCACGACCTAGCAGGGGGACACATTTACACGTTACACCAGGAAACAACTTCAGCATGGCACGACCTAGCAGGGGGGCACATTTACACGTTACACCAGGAAACAACTTCAGCATGGCACGACCTAGCAGGGGGACACATTTACACGTTACACCAGGAAACAACTTCAGCATGGCACGACCTAGCAGGGGGACACATTTACACGTTACACCAGGAAACAACTTCAGCATGACACGACCAGGACCTAGCAGGGGGGCACATTTACACGTTACACCAGGAAACAACTTCAGCATGGCACGACCAGGACCTAGCAGGGGGACACATTTACACCAGGAAACAACTTCAGCATGGCACGACCAGGACCTAGCAGGGGGACACATTTACACATTACACCAGGGGGACACATTTAAACGTTACACCACGCACACACACACATCATGAGCGGAGGCAGTTTCCGCTTAAAAAGTCCAAATAAAAAGTCTGATGGGGAAAGTAATCGTGTGTGTGTTTGTAGTGGAGGGGAGTTCATCGCACCCTGCTTACAACTTCAAAAACAGTGTCACCCTCGGCCCAAGATGAAATGTCTTCTTGTCCTAATGAATGGTAAAGTTGGTTTCCCCAGGGGGAGACCGGGGTTCAGATCCCACCAACGACGTGTGTATGTATCATTTGACTTACATGGAGTCACCAGGATACAAATACCATGAGATAGGCCCCGTCTCTACCGACTAAGAGAAATGAAGCAATGCTGTGTTGCGCTCTCTCTCTATGTGTGTGTGTGTGGATCAGCGTCTCTGCGTTAGGGGCCTAATGATTAAGGCATTGGTCCCGAGTGGGCTACCAGGGTTTAGATCCCACCTGTGATGTTTGTGTGTATCTGTGTGCATGTATCATGTGACTTACGTGGAGTCGGAGTCTGCGTTGCACTGCAGGAAGAAGCCAACACTCTTCTGGTGCGGCCGGTCCGGGTAGAAGCGAGGCATCACCATGATCTTCCAGGGCAGGTTCCTGACGAAGCAGGACGGGCTGAGAACAGACTCACTCAGCCGGCTGAACCTCTCCACCACAAAACGGCACGTCGCCTCCGACCGCCAGCTGGTGTCTGGATACACACATACACACACACACGAGAGGTGGGTCAGTGTGTGTGTCCATCAGTGTGTGTGTGTCCATCAGTGTGTGTGTGTGACTGTAGGTGTCCATCAGTGTGTGTGTGTGTGTGTGTGTGTCCATCAGTGTGTGTGTGTGTGACGTGTTCTCCACACCGTCAGATGTGCGTCCATCAGTGTGTGTGTGTGACGGTGTGTGTGTGTCCATCAGTGTGTGTGTGTGTGTGTGACGTGTGTGTGTCCATCAGTGTGTGTGTGACGGTGTTCTCCACTCCGTCACATGTGCGTCCATGAGTGAGTGTGTCCATCAGAGTGTGTGTGTGTGTCCATCAGTGAGTGTGTGTGAGATCCTCACCATCCTCCATATCCTCCTCTGTGTTGTGTCCGTCTGCCATGGCAACGTTCCCGTTGATCACCGGGTTGGCTGGGATTCTCGGGGGGTCGTCTGTGTCCCCAGCTGCACACACACAAGGATAAACAAAGAAATCAGGTCTGGAAGATACCAGGATGGAGATATTCCTTAGTATCGTGGCATGGAAACAAAACACCAAGCGGATTTCACTTCTTTAGGAAAACAGCCCTAATGTTGGAAACAAACATCATTATGTTGTCATCCAGGAGTCTTTTAATCTCTCTCACACACACACAGCAGGTTTTTAAAGGACCAACGAGTTTGGTCTGCTTCGTGTTTTCATTTTTGCCATGACAAAAATATTGCGATACTGGCATTTTCCCGGCCCGAACAGAAATGTTGTTTCTTACTGGTATCATGATGATCAAATGAATGGGAAGACACACAGTCCACTAGCTAGGAAATATCTCCCTCAAATAGAGGCTAAGCGTCTACCAGTATGTTATTTCTGCATGATGCCCAACAACGATACAGCGCAAACGTCCGTAACTAGAAAGAGGTGCACAGAGGAACATTTTGGTTCCTGAAACATCAGCGTCTTCTCATCATGGAAGTTATGATGACTGTGTAAAGTCATCCTGACTGGGTCACTTTAAAACACTGATCTGTATGGAGGTTTCATCGTGATGTCTGTGTTTCCTCTTTAGCAGGGAAATTAACTTCTGTTCCATCTAAAGATGCTGGTTGCGTCCCAAATCGCACCCTATTTCCTATATAGTGCACTACTTTTGACCAGGACACTATGGGAATAGGGTTCCATTTAGGATGCGGTACTGTCGTCACCTTTAACCATCAGGAAGAACACTTTAGTGCTGAGGCAGTGTTGCAGCAGCAGCAGCAGTCGACTACAGCAGTCTGGTCATTAGTAACAATGCAGGATTAAGCTGTGAGCTCCTCTGACACACAAGCTTGTGTAGCTGGTTTAAGAAGGGGACAGGAGAAAATCAGGCAGGTAATTACACAGACAAAAGAGCCTGGGACTAGTCTCATGAATCACAACATACCCAAAACAAAGAAGTCTACTGAAGAACACAGTAAGTCTGTGGCTCAAATGGAACCCTATTCCCTATGTAGTGCACTACTTTTAAACAGGGCTCATAGGGAAGGTGTATAGAATAGGGTGCCATTTGAGGGTCAGATTAAGAGTGTGAGAGTCAAGTGAACTATACCTTCTCTCCGTTAACAATTCTACAGTCAGTTTGAATGACAGAAAAGCATCAGTATGTGTGTGTGTGTATCCTTGCCTATCCTAGCAGTATGCGCATCATCTCTTCCCTGCTCATGCCCTCCTATGGCTGTGTGCGAGAGCCTGGTTGCATGTACGTGTGTGTGTGTACGTACGGAGCCCCAGTGAGCCACGCTCACGAGACTGACCTCATTTTCCCAAGTGGATTACAGGCAGCTAACGGCATGTGTCACTTCACTCAGCCTGCGTCCCAAATGACACCCAATTCCAGGGATCATCAACTAGATTCAGCCGCGGGGCCATTTTTTCCTTCAGCGGATGGTCAGTGGGGCCGGAACATACTTACAAATAATTTGTAGATTGCAAATTGACCGCAAGAAGCACAAACAGATATATTGTTTGATGAAAACAATCATTTCAAACCTTGCTTATACATTTGTATACCATCACGTGTCTCTCTGTTATGCGTGGGAATACTTGGGAACAGATGTCTTAAAGTAAAATTTACTTGGAGCTGACTTCCTGGTGTTTTTACAGTATTTTATGTCCAACAATGAAAATAAAAAATATATATAAAATAAAAATATCTGGAAACTTGGGAGGCCAAATAAAACCAGCAGTTGGGGAACCTAGGGCAATACTTATGCCCACGTCACATGGTCCAATGGGCCAATAGATTTTGCTACGAAAAGATAATCATTCGATCATTTATTTTGGTATTGCCCCCATGTAGCTTGTTTCTGGTCACAGATTCAGGAATGGCTGAAAATCACAACATTTATCTAAAATTAACCCTACAAATAGCACTGTTGGGAGATTCGGAAAACCATAATCAACTAACAATATAATAATTTTAGTAAAAATATTTATCTTTAACTTACAATCTGTAGATACTATGTGATTTAAAAAAAAATGTAATGATTAGACAGGTTCAGAATTTATATATATGAAACATCACAGCACAATTGAAAAATATATGGCACATGGAAATCACAAGAGGGCGGTTTACGGATAGGTGGGACTGGGGAATAAATGCAACTTTTTGGACCACCAGCCACCTTGGCAGGTAGATAAAAAATTACACGATTAATTTAATAGCTATGAAACAAAACAGCAGAAATACTTTGAAAACAGCTACTGCAGCATTTATTTTTCTACAGTGAGGGGGAAAAGTATTTGATCCCCTGCTGATTTTGTACGTTTTCCCACTGACCAAGACATGATCAGTCTATAATTTTAAATGGTAGGTTTATTTGTACAGTGAGAGACAGAATAACAACAACAAAATCCAGAAAAATGCATGTCAAAAATGTTATAAATTGATTTGCATTTTAATGAGGGAAATAAGTATTTGACCCATCTGCAAAACTTGATTTAGTACTTGGTGGCAAAAGCCTTGTTGGCAATCACAGAGGTCAGACGTTTCTTGTAGTTGGCCACCAGGTTTGCACACATCTCAGGAGGGATTTTGTCCCACTCCTCTTTGCAGATCTTCTCCAAGTCATTAAGGTTTCGAGGCTGACGTTTGGCAACTCGAACCTTCAGCTCCCTCCACAGATTTTCTATGGGATTAAGATCTGAAGACTGGCTAGGCCACCCCAGGACCTTAATGTGCTTCTTCTTGAGCCACTCCTTTGTTGCCTTGGCCGTGTGTTTTGGGCCATTGTCATGCTGGAATACCCATCCACAACCCATTTTCAATGCCCTGGCTGAGGGAAGGAGGTTCTCACCCAAGATGACGGTACATGGCCCCGTCCATCGTCCCTTTGATGCGGTGAAGTTGTCCTGTCCCCTTAGCAGAAAAACACCCCCAAAGCATAATGTTTCCACCTCCATGTTTGAGGGTGGGGATGGTGTTCTTGGGGTCATAGGCAGCATTCCTCCTCCTCCAAACACGGCGAGGTGAGTTGATGCCAAAGAGCTTGATTTTGGTCTCATCTGACCACAACACTTTCACCCAGTTCTTCTCTGAATCATTCAGATGTTCATTGGCAAACTTCAGACGGGCCTGTATATGTGCTTTCTTGAGCAGGGGGACCTTGCGGGCGCTGCAGGATTTCAGTCCTTCACGGCGTAGTGTGTTACCAATTGTTTTCTTGGTGACTATGGTCCCAGCTGCCTTGAGATCATTGACAAGATCCTCCAGTGTAGTTCTGGGCTGATTCCTCACCGTTCTCATGATCATTGCAACTCCACGAGGTGAGATCTTGCATGGAGCCCCAGGCCGAGGGAGATTGACAGTTGTTTTGTGTTTCTTCCATTTGCGAATAATCGCACCAACTGTTGTCACCTTCTCACCAAGGTGCTTGGCGATGGTCTTGTAGCCCATTCCAGCCTTGTGTAGGTCTACAATCTTGTCCCTGACATCCTTGGAGAGCTCTTTGGTCTTGGCCATGGTGGAGAGTTTGGAATCTGATTGATTGATTGCTTCTGTGGACAGGTGTCTTTTATACAGGTAACAAGCTGAGATTAGGAGCACTCCCTTTAAGAGTGTGCTCCTAATCTCAGCTCGTTACCTGTATAAAAGACACCTGGAAGCCAGAAATCTTTCTGATTGAGAGGGGGTCAAATACTTCTTTCCCTCATTAAAATGCAAATCAATTTATAACATTTTTGACATGCGTTTTTCTGGATTTTTGTTGTTGTTATTCTGTCTCTCACTGTTCAAATAAACCTACCATTAAAATTATAGACTGATCATGTCTTTGTCAGTGGGCAAACGTACAAAATCAGCAGGGGATCAAATACTTTTTTCCCCTCACTGTATAAATGTGATCATAATTGACTATTTTTACTCACAAATGCAAGTGAAATGCTCACACTGTGGAGCCTTGACCTCCCGACAACGTGGCTGGTGAAATAGACATCTTACCTGCCAATGCCAAAATCTACCCGCATTTGGCAGGTGTTAATTTTAGGCCCTGGACGGGATGGACAGAGTAGCTGGGGGGGCGTTCTATAACAGTTATGACTGAAAACACAATGTATAACGTATAAGTACTATCTATCTAGATGTAATGTATATCAAAATACTTTATTCTTGCTATGTAATTACTGAAAAAATAAAGTGCCATGTATGTAAAATGTGTGTAGAATGTACGTGACAACAAAATAAAAAAAACTGTAATAAAGTTTATATTGTCCTCCGAAAAGATTTTGTTTTTGCCATTTGGGACTCAGCCGTAGCTAGAGCTAGTAGACCACTTCCTGTCCCGCATCTCAGAGTAGGAATGCTGATCTAGGATCAGGTTGGCATGCATCTCAGAGTAGGAATGCTAACCACCGGTGTTAAGTTAAGTACATTTAGTAAGATGGATGCAATTAAAATGTTATACGAATGACAAGGTGCCAATGTAAACCACCTGGTTGTAATGTATGGCTATTACAGTGAAAGGCCTCTTGTCCATGCACCTCAGCTAGACTTGAATCTGCTGATCCAAACATCAGTTGTGTAAATAAATCAAACAAAGAATCTATCAATTGGTCTGATGCACCTGTGGTAATGATGAATTATGTGTAATCTCAATTTTATCATATGCATTACAATTTATCATAATGCTAAAGAGCATGCTATTGACGAAAATATTGCTAAACGGTCAGACATGTTGTTGACTGTCCCAACAAATGGGGATAATTAAAAATGGCGAGCCACGCGCGTTGTGTCTTCAAACAATGAAGCAGCAAATCCACGCGCGCTGGCTGTGTCGATGCAACATAAACCCTGCACTGCCACCAGCCTCGAGTTCCCATGTTGGCTAAATCCTAAACGTGGCTAAACACAACATAGCTAGCTGTGCTCCAATAAATATTTCCGGCCATCTTTTGGGCACTGGTGCTTATTTCACTAACTTTCGTTCGCTATCTAGCTTAGACTATAGTTGATGTGTGGCAAAACAAATTGACGCATCTGTGTTGATTAACTGAATTGTTAGCTAGCTAGTACCTCTTTGCTAGCTAATGAAATAGGTATTTGAGCTTGCTATCACCACTGCTAAATTAGTTATCCATCTAGTTAGCTACATTATTATTTCCTGTATCGCTAGCTCGTTTGATCATCACAGAAATGACATGCGAGTCTAAATAACGATGATGCAAACCCTTCCTTTATAAAACGTAAACAAACATGTAAGGCCTTGCTTCAAATTGATCGCTGCAAAATACTAGCTAGCTAAGTATCCACCATCTTGGAATATAATCGCCACACACCCCCGTCCACCGAGAGGCCTATGACGTTAGCTAAGATCTAGCTAACGCGAACAATTTTCAGTTAACAATGATAATAAAGTAAAACAATATTACCAATAAAAGTTATTAAATTATACATATATTGTTTACAACAAAACTGAGTTACGCGATTAATGTGGACCACTGACTGATCTCATCTTGCTAGTTAGCTACTGTAGCATGGCTAACGTTAGCTGATTCGCGGCTAAGTAGAGCTGACGTTAGTTAGCTAATTACAAATACATTACCTACTCGGGTTGACTAGCTAGCAAGCAAAATAGTAAATGCACAGTAGCCATGAGAACTGTCAAATACCTAACTATCAATTGGTCAGTCGAAAGTGTAAGTAAATAGCAGCAACATTTGCCTAATACTGCTGGGTCATTAATTGTCATTGTTAAAACTGCATGCGTAGGCTCAAGAGTCAAGTGAAACAAGCTAACTTTAGCTAGGTGGGCTAGTGTTTACAAACATGAACGGGGGATGTAACATCCAGACTAAAATTGTGATAACGTAACCCTTGTGACCGTGCACAAACGATCGATTTTGTAGCGGGAGTGAGCTATTGAGTCGGTTTATTTGGCAACTAGCAGGTTGGCTAGCTAACCGAGATGAATGAATGATAAATGCTACTGCAAACTAGCCAACTGATCAAAATATAATCAATGTATCTTGTTAGCTTGTTAGGTGACAGTCAATATATGGCGGTCGTAAATATACTGTACAATATGTGGTGAATGTAATCTTTCACTCAAAAGTTGGATTACGTTAAACCAAAACGGATGTTTTGACCATCGGTAGCCACCAAGTTGACTGCGCCACGTTTATCACGCTAACTTGGCTAGCTAGCTAACGTCAGACAGTGAGAGTGCAATAAATCAGACATTGTTAATGCGCTAACCTGCCAGTTGCATGTGGGATGTAGCTAGCAAGCCTCAGCTAGTTACCGGGTTGTACAACGTTACCTAACTAGCTACATCAATGACGCTTGTAGTTGTCAACAACACTAGCTAGCTAACGTTGGCTACTGGCTAAACGAGCGAACGAGGTCAGCAGTACCGATGATGCTGCAATGGACGCATCATCAGCAAAATTACAGTTATGAACAGACTGGCAGGCCTTGATGTTTACAGTAACGATAGATCAGTTCACGCTAGCTAGATTACCACGGCCATGCACTTTGCCAACTATATAAAAAAAAAAAAAAGATTAAATTGTTTTTTTCGTCTCTGCCCGTGGCTTTTTTCTTACCTTCCATCTCCATATCCTCGGGCTCGCTAAGTTGTTGCTCGCCGGCTTTCTGCTGCTGTTGCTGCGTGTGGTGGTGGTTCATGTTGGCAACTGTTGTGATGGGATGATGCCTGTTGTCTTTGTTCCCCTCGAACGTGTCTGTTGCTGGTTCCGTGGGGAGCCGGTTTCTGGGTTGTTGGTGAGGTGTTTGAAGGTGAGGAGGTGGGATAGACAGGTCGAGCCTTGGCGGCTGGGCCTGTTCTAAAACAACCTCGGCCTTTTCTCTCGTCAGCGCCGGGGATTGAGGGGGAGAGTTCGGAGGGGGCGCAGGCAGAGAAACGCGGACGTATTTGCTTGCTATTCGCCCAATCTCGGCGCCTTGATGGGTGCAAGTCGCTGACTGTGGTGGTGACTACGGCTCCAAAAAGGGAGACCCGTTGAATTAAATAAATCCGACTTTACCCCAGGTAACTGTTAACATGGAGCAATTGGCGAAGTGAGAAAGACAACTCACGACCTAGAGCCGGAGAAACAAATACTGTTGCCCTGTTTTAAAGCCAACTGGCACAATGCAGCCAACTAACGAAATTAGGGAAAACAAAGGTTCATAAACTATCGATACACACTGAAATACAACTTTCTCTTAGATATTCCCAGTCCGTGTGTTCCTCCGATTGTCCCTCGTCTGGGGGAGAGTAGAGAAAAAAGCTATCCATTCAAACCTGCTTCTAATTTGGAATCGCACTAATTTAGAAGTTTAGGGTGATAGCGATGCCACAGCCCGATATCGACTTTCCAACACATTAAACCACCGTATTACTATTAGCAACAAAATTCTGCACCTTGTCGCATTTCAAACGTGTGTTCAATTAAGAAATGTGCCCGGTCACAGCCAGAGCTTCTCACCCGCTCCCTTGGTTTGTGATGTTGAGTTTGAGGTAAAACTCAAAATGGCGGTCGCGCTCTTCTCTGAAATGTCACATCCGCATGGAGATCTAAACACTCCGCACACAGCACAATGCTCTCTAGCTGGGTCGCTCGCTGATTGACTGTGGATATTCATTCATCGATATACTGCTCAGCAATCATAGGCTACAACTCATGGCAGCAAAAAATAGAATTCTAGCTAATATTATACGTTAGTTGGTATAACGGGTTATAGCAGAGGTGTCAAACTCTATTTGCTCCGGGAGCCGCATTCGGTCTTCAACGAGGTCGGGAGGGCCGCACTGAAAATTGGTTATATTTCCTCGCCATCAAAATGTGCAAAAAAATTGTCCTCTATCCATCGTTTTTGGAATTTTCGATGCTCCCTGACTGTCTAGCTTCCATTTAGCTGGACACAGTCAAGAAACTGTATGAATGTAGGTCCATTACAATTTACACAAAGTTTCGATTTGGTTTTAGTAATTTTAAAGTAAGCCTATATTGAGCCCCCCCCCCCAAAAAAAGCACACATAGGCCGGATTTTGACCCCCCATGGTTATAGCATTTGCCAGAAATAGGAGTGAACTGGACGCACTTAAAGGGACCATTTTATTTTCTAAAATGTGCAACAAGACACTGCAAACACAACATTAATTTTATTCTCCAGTGCTGTGGATATGAGTTGTGTAAATTGTATTATTTTCCCCAGCTTTGGAGTATATTCTGTTTTAAGGATATATGATGAGGCAATAACGCAGTGTAATACTGAGTGAAAGGGCCCAACATCATTTTTGTCTCTAAACTTCAATTTTCCAATCCAAAGAAATTCTCTGGTACATAACTGGACAACTGAACATTGCAACATTCTGACACAATAGGCTGATACAAAACTGGTGTTCGCTGCACCGTTTACTGCATTATTATGTGACTGTTGTAAAATGCAGTGAACTTGAAAGGTTCACAGGAATGAAATTATATCTCAAGCCTCGTAGTGGACCCACACACTCATACTGAATTTGTTTAGGAAGTTTTGAATACATAGCTATTATGTTTATTATTGTTGGAGCTATTAGCTACAATATGAAGAATATCCTTCCCTCCTATCATGGATGAAGCAAAATGAACTGAGTGATGAGAGATGTGCTGTTTGTAGGAAAATAGTGCCCTCTAGTGGAAAGATATGAGAAGGGCTTGTCCTGCGCTGAAAGTTGCTGTGGTTTGGTCCCACAGCTTTTCAGCTGACTCATCCGAAGCTATTGGAACGTCTTGTTCACCCCCCTCCACCCTCCACCCCGGCCGCCCCCACACATGAACACACACACACACACACTGGCCTAAACCAGTCTTGACCAACAAGCTGCCATGATTACCATAGACATCATACCAGACACATCACTGGTAATGTCCTGCTGTTTAAGGAAAGTGGCCTGTTAAATTACTCTATAGCCACGTTGTGAAGAAGTTCCTTAAACTTTTTCTTGTTAACATAGCTGAGCTCCTAAAGGTTTTAATTAATTCACTTAACACTCGGTCCATGGTGTTACACAAACTGGGGTTTCCTTTACTTGAGGACAGGTCCCCTAGCAGTTCCTGAGTGGCGCAGTGGTCTAAGGCACTGCATCGCAGTGCTAACTGTGCCACTAGAGATCCTGGTTCGAATCCAGGCTCTGTCGCAGCCGGCCGCGACCGGGAGACTCATGGGCGGCGCACAATTGGCCCAGCGTCGTCCAGGGTAGGGGAGGGAATGGCCGGCAGGGATGTAGCTCAGTTGATAGAGCATGGCGTTTGCAACGCCAGGGTTGTGGGTTCGATTCCCACGGGGGGCCAGTATAAAAAAATTATGTATTCACTAACTGTAAGTCGCTCTGGATAAGAGTGTCTGCTAAATGACTAAAATGTCAAATGTAAATGTAGTAGCTCAATTGGTAGAGCATGGCGCTTGTAACGCCAGGGTAGTTGGTTCGATCCCTGGGACCACCATACGTAAAAATGTATGCACACATGACTGTAAGTCGCTTTGGATAAAAGCATCTGCTAAATGGCATATTAACATATTATTCACACCTGTCTGTCTCCAGCCTTGAAGGTGGTCAATGAGCTCAGCCCTGGGTCATGTTCATTACACACCAAACAGAAGGAAACAGGGAGTGCAGAGAAAATGTTTTAACCCCTTAGGATTTTCACATTTCAAACCTAAAATGTTATTAGATCTTAATCTAATAATAGATAAAGATTTAACAAATTGCACAAAAACATGATACTTTTAAAACATTTATTTATCCACAAATAATTCAACGTTCAATATCCCTGTGTGAAAAAGTATGTGAACCTTTAGATTCAGTAACTGGTGGCACCCCCTAAGTGTTTCCTGTAACTGCTGGCTGGTGTGTTTACGGACATATTCAATCTCTCCCTTTCCCAGTCTGCTGTTCCCACATGCTTCAAGATGGCCACCATTGTTCCTGTACCCAAGAAAGCAAAGGTAACTGAACTAAATGACTATCGCCCCGTAGCACTCACCTCTGTCATCATGAAGTGCTTTGAGAGACTAGTCAAGGATCATATCACCTCTACCTTACCTGTCACCCTAGACCCACTTCAATTAGCTTACCGCCCCAATAGATCCACAGACGATGCAATTGCCATCACACTGCACACTGCCCTATCCCATCTGGACAAGAGGAATACCATGTAAGAATGCTGTTCATTGACTATAGCTCAGCATTCAACACCATAGTACCCTCCAAGCTCATCATTAAGCTTGAGGCCCTGGGTCTTAACCCCGCCCTGTGCAACTGGGTCCTGGACTTCCTGACGGGCCGCCCCCAGGTGGTGAAGGTAGGAAACAACATCTCCACTTCGCTGATCCTCAAGGGTGCGTGCTCAGCCCCCTTCTGTACTCCCTGTTCACCCATGACTGCGTGGCCAAGCACGCCTCCAACTCAATCATCAAGTTTGCAGATGACACAACAGTAGTAGGCTTGATTACCAACAATGACGAGACCGCCTACAGGGAGGAGGTGAGGGCTCTGGGAGTGTGGTGCCAGGAAAATAACCTCTCACTCAACGTCAACAAAACAAAGGAGATGATCGTGGACTTCAGGAAACAGCAGAGGGTGCACCCCCCTATCCACATCGACGGGACCGCAGTGGAGAAGATGGAAAGCTTCAAGTTTCTTGGCGTACACATCACTGACAAACTGAACACATCACTGAAATGGTCCACCCACACAGACAGTGTGGTGAAGAAGGCGCAACAGAGCCTCTTCAACCTCAGGAGGCTGAAGAAATTTGGCTTGGCACCTAAAACCCTCACAAACTTTTACAGATGCACAATTGAGAGCATCCTGTCGGGCTGTATCACCGCCTGGTACGGCAACTGCACCGCCCGCAACCGCAGGGCTCTCCAGAGGGTGGTGCGGTCTGCCGAACGCATTACTGGGGGCAAACTACCCGCCCTCCAAGACACCTACAGCACCTGATGTCACAGGAAGGCCAAAAAGATCATCAAGGACATCAACCACCCGAGCCACTGCATGTTCACCCCGCTATCATCCAGAAGGCGAGGTCAGTACAGGTGCATCAAAGCTGGGACCGAGAGAATGAAAAACAGCTTCTATCTAATTTTATTTGAACTGGTGGCACCTCCTAAGCGTTTCCTGTAACTGGTGGCAGCCCCTAAGAGTTTCCTGTAACTGGTGGCACCCCCTAAGCGTTTCCTGTAACTGTTGGCACCCCCAAAGCGTTTCCTGTAACTCGTGGCACGCCCTAAGCGTTTCCTGTAACTGGTGGCACCCCCTAAGTGTTTCCTGTAACAGGTGGCACCCCCTAAGTGTTTCCTGTAACTTGTGGCACCCCCTAAGTGTTTCCTGTAACTAGTGGCACCCCCTAAGCGTTTCCTGTAACTGTTGGCACCCCCAAAGCGTTTCCTGTAACTTGTGGCACCCCCTAAGCGTTTCCTGTAACTGGTGGCACCCCCTAAGCGTTTCCTGTAACTGGTGGCACCCCCTAAGCGTTTCCTCTAACTGGTGGCACCCCCTAAGCGTTCCCTGTAACTGTTGGCACCCCTTAAGCGTTTCCTGTAACTGTTGGCACCCCCTAAGCGTTTCCTGTAACTGGTGGCACCCCCTAAGTGTTTCCTGTAACTGGTGGCACCCCCTAAGCGTTTCCTGTAACAGGTGGCACCCCCTTAGAATTTCCTGTAACTGGTGGCACCCCCTAAGCGTTTCCTGTAACTGTTGGCACCCCCTAAGCGTTTCCTGTAACTGGTGGCACCCCCTAAGTGTTTCCTGTAACTGGTGGAACCCCCTAAGTGCTTCCTGTAACTGGTGGCACCCCCTTAGAATTTCCTGTAACTGGTGGCACCCCCTAAGCGTTTCCTGTAACTGTCAGTCACATCGGTTTTGAGGAATTTTGCCCCATTCCTCCTTACAGAACTGCTTCAACTCTGTGACATTTGGGGGCTTCCCTGCATGGATAGCTCGCTTCAGGTCAGGTCCTGCCACAACATTTCCATGGGGTTTAGGTCCAGACTTTGAATATAGGCCCTGATAGAGAAAACCTACAAGAGTTTGGAAATGAGGCCTACTTCTCGAGAGAAGCACACCTATATCGAGGAGTGATGTGCAGCAGATTCCTTCTATGAAAAACCTTTAGGAAATAAAAAGCAAAAGGTCGCAAAAGTGAGAATGAAGTTAGAGAGTGACTTTTAACTCAAATTGTTTTTGTTTTACATGCATTCAGTAGCAATGACTTGCAGTAGCATAGCAAAAATGGTGCCAGGTGTTTCTCTCTCTATCAAACTCCCAAAATAATTGTAATCATTATTTAAATCATTGTATTTTTGTTATGTTACACTACTATACTGAACTGGCACATCATTATATAGCTAGCTATGTGAATATGACTGCTTTGAACAGTAAGAGCTTGGTCGTCACTAGCTTCTATAGCCACAAAGTCACAATTATGGCTAAACCCCGCCTGTTTCTACAATTTATCTTATTAAAATGTGATTTTAAATCTAACCCTAACCTTACCCCTAACCTTAACCACACTGCTAACCTTATGCCTAACCCGAAACTTAAATTAAGACCAAAAAGCTAACTTTTGCTTTCATGAATTTTTAAGATATAGCCCATTTTTATGGAAGCCAATTCCCGCCACCCCAAATAAATGTCAATGTTGATACAATCTAAAAAAATTGAGATACTATCACTTTTTTTTTTACATAGTAATAAATCAGCTGTAAAATAGTTTTATATGGGCTATGATGGGACCAGAGTTTTTCTAATC